TAACAAGAACTAAAGAAAGGATTAGGAAAAATAAGATAGGAAAAGAATTTCATTGGTGTAAAAACCATGTCCAACTATATTATCTCAAAACACCATTTTCAATTCTATCTCAAAAATCTCTTCAAAATCATCCTATTGGAGGGAAAAAGCCTCTATTTATACGAGTAGGAAGTCTCTAGCTATGAAGACTAACATCGATAGGGTTATGAAATGCCATTAACTCTAGCCATTAGGGCTAGAGCTACAAAAGTTAAAAACTCATGGCCACTAATATGATCATCAACTCTATCATCAAAAGATGAGAGTTACAAAAGTTTAAAAAGTTCATGTGCTTAATATATACATATATATATATATATATATATAAATATATATATATAATGATGTTTGCATAATTCAAACAGATAGGTCGCAAAACAAATACGAATGTTGAGTCACAGCTCGATCCAAGTCTAATCTCAAACATATGCATAAGCTAAATCCAATACAACATAGTTCAGCCCAAACTCAAAATTAAGTCCAAGTTCAAGTCCAAGACCAAAACCAAACCTAGTACATGAAAAGCACAAGCATAGGCCCATTCCAAACCAAGACTAAGTTCAAATCTAAGCCCAACTTTATTAATACCCACTTTATGAGATAATTCTCATTCATAACTCAATAGTTTCATCCCATCATTTTTATATTGTAATCTTTTCACTTAGGAGAATACAAAACCACCTAGACCCATTTCAACCGACAGTTAAGTCCTACTTTAATTTCACATTAAAGTTGTCGAAAAATTATTATTTTCTAACAATTAAAACATTACAAAGTTTTTTAAACTAAACACATCCATAATTTCATTAGTTCAATTTTTTTTAAACCTAACTATTAGTAGTATATCAAACTAAAAAAAAAATATTAAAAAAATTCCATAGTTTAAACTTCAAATTTCTTTAAATATTTTTTCGTCATTTTCTTTAGCAAAATATTAACTACTTGAACATCTTACAAACCATATGGCCAACAATAAAAAGGAATATATATATATATTTTCAATATATTATATAAATTAATTAATTAATTAAATTAAATATGTAGCAGGCCAGGCCGGATTAGATCGGACCAGGCCAGCTAAAAGTATAATTCCTAAACCCAACCCATTAATCAATCGGGTTGAATATAAAACCTAGTCCTGCATTATAGATTAAAATAATATCCCCACGCTCTAAAAAAAAATAGGCTGGGCTAGACAGGCCCGCAGACCCATGTCCACTCCTAATTGGCAGTGGAGAACTTACACAGGGACGAGATGTGGCTATGACCCCTCCCAAGTTTTTCAAAATTACAATATCACCCCTATATTTTAAGAATATTTGTAGAATGTATAAATAGTTTCTCATTTGATGAAAATTACTTTACAAGCTATTTATTTTATCAGTATTAATTTCATAATGTATGATGAAATGATCTCAAATTTTTTCACACATCATTTAATTGCATCCATTTCATGGAGTTGATTTTATTATACTAGAGGTGCATATTATATATATTTTTGTTTTAATTTTAAAAAATTAAAGAGGTATATAAACTTTTTGTTTATTAGATTATGTCAATTAACAAAATAACTTAAAAGCATGATATAATTGATTATGTATTGAGATCTAATTAATAATTTAAAATTTTAAAAAAGAATAAAAAATAACTTGTTAAATTTATTTAATTTTCTCATTAAATACGTATTTCAGACCGTTTTAATAAAAAATAATCAGTAGCCAATGATGTACTAAAGTTAACTGAATTTTTTTATGCACATCTTGACCGCCCTGATAAATTTCTTTCTGGTTCTGGGTCTGCCCTTATGTATTGGTGTTATTGTTAATGATTTCACTGGCGAATTTATAGCCGTTGTTGCTCATCTTTTTTCTTTGGAAAATGCTATACAAATAAAAAAAAAATTTACAAATTTTTCTTACAAATTGATGTGGCATGAAGTGATACAACTTTAGAATGTGAAATGAGACCCAACTTGTTAATATTCTAGGTGAAACATCAATTTATAAGAAAAATTTATTTGTATGCACTACTCTTTTTTCTTTTATTGCTTCAGCAAAGACTGTTGAAGTGTTGTTCTTCGTATGGTCTATTGTTTTTTTTTTTGTTTTTTTTTTTTTATGCAAGGGTACTGCTACAAACTGTACAAACTACTATGTATTCCTAGTTCCAAAAAAAAAAAAAAAACTATGTATCTTCGGATCCAAAAATATATATACAAATAAAAAAATACAGTTAAAATTTATTGTGTTCACAAGATGATTTAACTGTTACTAACGGTGTGTTATTATCCATTTTAATTTTTATTTTCACGTTAATTGTTCATTAATCCTCAAAGTGAAGTCTAATTGTGTTAAAATTTTTATTTAATTGAGAAACTTTTAGTTGAATAGATTTCGAAAAGACAAATTCAAAATATTAATTTGATTAAAAATAAATTTATAAGATTAAAATTTTGAGAATTATATTTTTTTAATACAAAAAACACATAAAGCCAAAAGCTGTAAACTAATGTAAGGATGTAATTTCGGTGGATTCAATCCGAGCCCAGTCTAAATTTTATTAGGGCTTGGGCAACTTGTTTTTAAATTTGGCAAGGGATTGGACATAAATTTTAAAGTCCAAATTAAATTTGATCGGATTTGAGTAGAGAGCTAAATAATTCAAGAAATCCAAAACCCGGATTGTATATATAATTATATAAAAATATTAAATATATATATTAATTATTAGTTGTTGGAGGATATTAAAATAATTTGAACCGTTACATTATATTCAATATATTACATACACAAATAACACACCATAACACAACACTCTACTCTTTTCTTTCATCACTTAGAAATTGCAAAGACCACCACAATAGTGCAACGATTCTTCAATTATTATCTCTCTCCTTTCTATTTTTATCGCATTATATAAATTACTTATTTAAAGTTTGTAATGATTTTTTTTTTAATAAAAATGCTAATAAAGGCTAATTTTAATAAATTAATCAACCAAGATGCGTGTGCATGTACACACGCAAAAAATATATCTCTATTCTCAAATCATATTTAGAAAATTTTACCAAACATAACCTCAATTTTTTGTGTAATTCAAACTTAACTCAGATTGAACTTGGACCGATAACATTGGATTGCAAGTTAAGCCTAGGTAGCCTAGGAAAATTGTTCGAGGGCTCGAAATCGTTTGGCTTGAATTGGCTCGAAACCCAAAATGACGTCGTTTTGGGTTTCTTTCTTTTCTTTTTTTTTTTCTTCCTTTTCTTGTTTTTTTTTTCTTTTTCTTCCTTTTCTTGTTTGAACACAGACAAACAGAGGCAAGAGAGAGAAATGAGAGAAGAGAAGAGAAAGAGAGAAGAAGAAGAAAAGATAGGGAGAAGGAGGAGGAAGAGAAGAAGACGGAGGCGGAGGAGGAAAATCGACGGTGATGACGGTGATCGGAGATTCAGATCTGAATATATATATTTTTTTTTTTTTTTTTTGCTGATGATGATGTGTTGATGATGATGATGTTGATGAAAATGTTGTTGTTGTTGTTGATGATGATGATGATGTGTTGATGAAGATGTTGTTGATTTTTTATTATTTTATTTTTTTTTCTAGTGGATCTGATCTGAAGATTAAGGGGGGAAAAAAAATTTGTTGGCTGATCTTGTTCCTCTTCTCTTTCCTTCTTCTTGTTCTTCTTCTTCTCTGCTTCTGCTTCCTCTTTTCTTCTTGCTTCTGCTTCTGCTTTCTCTTCTCTTTTCATCTTCAAAACAGAGAGAAAGAAAAAAGGAAAGAAAAAAAAAAAAAATCCAAAACGACATCATTTTGGATTCGGGGCAAATTCAAGCTTGAAAATTTCGGACTACATATCACAATTGGTAGCCTAGGCAACTCTTGCCATAACTTAAATTAGGTTCGGCTTGGGCAAGTTTAACATCTACAAAATTACCATCACATATCCTTATGACCAACAAACTTAGCCTAAATGCACCATGCACATTAATGCAAATTTATCACCAAATTTTATTTATTTTAATTACTTTCCCAATGAATCGATTAATCTGGAGAGCAATCTTACCATTCACAATTGATCCCAATAAATTATTTACACCCAAGAAGTTTTGAACTTGAGACCATGGAAAGAGTATATTTCAAAGCGTCAAATTTTGACTACCAAGCCAACTTAAAATTGTGTGTTAAAGAAGTTTTGAACTTGAGACCATGGAAAGAGTACACTTCAAAGCATCAAGTTAAAATTGTGTGTTAAGAAGTTTTGAACTTGAGACAGGGCCGGCCCTGAGATTTAAGAAGCCCAAGGCGAGCTTCAGAAATGAGACCCTTCTTACATTAAAAAAAAAAAAAAGAATTAACGGATAAAACGATAAGTTATAACAACTTTTTTATTTATTTGTAGCCATAAAAAAATTATTTGCGCATATAATTATTAAAATTATAAATAAAAATTTACTTTTATATATTAAGATAAGAATCAATCATTACAAATACTAAAAAAAAAAAAAAACTGGTCTTGTTACTTTATAATTTGGCAATATCGTTTACAATTGAACCACGATCAGTTCAATTGGGCCTATAGTATTTGGGCATTTTTTTTTTAATCTAAAACACAAAATTTTATTTGGGGATCCTTATTTTCAGTCCAAATTTGGGGGCCCGAGGTGCAGGCCCCTCTTGCCTGCCCTCAGGGCCGACCCGGACTTGAGACTATGGAAAGAGTATACTTCAAAACGTCAAGTTTTAATTATCAGGTCAACTTAAAATTGTGTGTTGATTTACTGGTTTAATTTTTAGATTTTTTTTGAAAAATAAATAATTTGACAAAATAAATGTCAATTTTTTTTTCCCCAAAAAAGTTATATGTAAATGATAAATACTTTAATTTATTTTTCATTAAATTAATTTTTAATTTAAAAATTTGTGAAAATCAAAACCATCCTAATGTATAATTCAGAATTCGCCTTGCCAAATTTCCCTCTCATCTCTGCAAAACAAGCTTTCCAACGTCACTCTAACCCCATCTCTCTCCCTCTCTCTCGCTCGTTCGTGTGAGAAGTAGGGCAAATATGGGGGTGAAAAACCTGTGGGACATCCTAGAATCCTGCAAGAAAACTCTCCCTCTTCATCATCTCCAGTAAGTTTCTTTCTTTTTTTTCTTTTTTGTTTTGTTTTGTACAATCCACTAAGCTTCTTGCACCATTATTCCCTCTCTCTCGCTCTCTCTCTCTCTCTCTCTGGATTTAATTACTCAAACCACATACCCCCTTACTCTTTCTGCAAAACCCATAATTTACACATACATACATATTTATATTTGTATATTTGTATATGCATATGTATAAAGGCTATGTCTTTTTGGCCACCAGGAATAAAAGGGTGTGTATAGATTTATCATGTTGGATGGTTCAACTTCATAATGTCAACAAGTCTCACTGTTCCCTCAAGGACAGGCTTTATCTCAAGGGTCTCTTTCACCGACTCAGAGCCCTCATTGCTATGAATTGCAGCCTTATCCTTGTTACCGGTATTGTAATTTCACCCTGATTTTCTTTCTCTTCATATTATTAAATAATAAATAAATATCTTGTTTCGATGATAATTTTTTCTTTTTCTTTTTTGGGTTGCAATTGCAAAATGTTAAGTTAAAACATGTCCAAACAGACGAGAAAATAATAATTAAAAATTAACCCACCATGTGGTATGTTAGACACATGGATACAAGTGTCTGCGGCGTGTCGGTGTCTGATATGTGTCCAACACGACACCCATTTTGAAGTGTTTTTTTTTTTTTTTGAACCAACCCATTTTGAAGTGTTTGTGCTTCCTAGATTAGCACTTTAGGTATTAGAATGGATGACATCAGCATAGAAGAAATCTCAAGAGGATGGTAGGTGTTGAGTGAAACATACTATTTGATTATGTTAGAATCAAGAGTCTGTAACAATGTAAAATGAGTACAATGGAAAAGTACGGCATCATATCCTTAGGGGCCAAAAGGTTGAGTTATTTAAAGCTTTGGAACCAATTTTTAATTAATTCACACAAAGAGAATGGTGCTTTTCAATCTAAATCTAAATTAACTAAAAGCAATTGTTGAATGAAAATTAAATTAAGTGGAAATAAAGTAGAGGAGAGCTTAGGGTTAATCCACTATTAGCCTTGTAACACGTGTATTTTTATCAATATCATAAACTAATTAAATGTCACGAGTCATGACTATGATTAGCCACAATGAGATCCTTAAGAGATCATGTATTGAAAATCAGGTATGAACCATCTTCAATTGGCACGAGAAATCTACACTAAACTAGGGTTGTAGGACGTCTTGTATTCTTTGGGCATGACTCATTTCAATAATCAAAATGTGTATCAATATAACCATTGTATAAGCATTGTATTTAAGATCACAAAATTTAACTCAACCATTGAATCAAGCATTGAAATGATTTTATAAAACGAATATCAATACTATACAATCATCATTCATGCCTAAATAATCAATCCCAAAATAATGATACAAAACACCCGGTGTTACTTGACTAGGGTTTTATCTAAACCCTAAGGATGAAGATTAGTTGCCTATGGTTGAGGAGAAATCAGCCATCTTTGGTGAGAACTCAATCGATTTGCCTTGAAAAACTATTGCTCTGCCTCTTGAGCCATTCTCTAATGTCCAAGGCCCTTTTTCTAAAGTCCTAACTTCCTATTTATACTTTCTTTCCAAACTAGGTCTTTTTGTAGGTCAAATTCTATGTAAATTGACCTAAACATGCTGTGCCTCACGTTAGTCTTTGCTAGTGCGGAGCTCAGGCTTTGCTCGAGCAAAGTTGTCCAGTAGCTTCACCCCCAAAAATGCAGAAATCACACTTTGCTAGGGACCTCTGCTCAAGCGAAGGTCATGGTCTGCTCGAGTGGACCAAGACAGCCTCTTGAACATTTTTCTGATTTCATGTCATTCGGAATCCACTTTGCTCTCCGAATTTTGGTTACTCCAAATTAAGCTTAATTTCATCCAAGCAGCTTATATTCATGCAAACATGTCAAAAACATCAAGTAACCATGGGTCATGGACTTTGCAAGTGTACTTTAGGTGGTCTCAATGTATACATTTCGGCACCTAACACACCCTCCAACTCACCCTTTTCCAGTCCTCGAGCAAAGCAAACATAGCAAAACTAGAATAAATCTAAACTACATCATCTTTCATGGTATACACGATTGGATTTAGCATATGCAACAATCTTTGTGCCACAAGGTTACCCCGAGTGGATGAGTTGTAGTCTCTTGAGGGTTCCAGAGATGCTACCTAAAAACATCATTTTTGATGGTTACTAAGGAATGCCCAACTTTTATCAAGTGATCAATATCGAATACTAAACAACTTTGGTACGCAATTATCACTCATCAACTAATTTAAACAGTCAAACACTTCACTTGTAAGTAATGCTACTCAAGTTCAATTTATTTGTACCTGAATAGAAAATCCTCACATGCTCCATTGGTGTAAAGTGAATGTTCACGTAGATGTGCGACCCCCCAATCCCAACATAGATTTCATTAATATCCCACAACTTATCAGACCTTTCATAGAACAACACAAACTCTTATCCTTTTTCTGTGATTGTTCAATGTTTAAATCCCTTAAGATTTCTAATTAAGCCATGTAACTAGTGTTAAGCCAACGACTCCCAAACCAAACAGCTTCAGGGCACTAGGTGTAAAGATACCCCTATAGGCTTAATAACTCGAGTAAAAAAGGCTATGAACCCAAACTAGCCACTCTTTTCATCCTGCACAAACTCATTTTTTTTTTGATATGGACACTCAATGCTTAGTGAGGCAACAGGCCCACTTACTACTTAATATATTCAATCAAGCCAAAAATCACTACTTAATATATTCAATCAAGCCAAAAATCACTCATTCTATGGATCATACAATTCATCACATAATATCAAAGGCATGCATGTTAGTCTCAAGTTTTAGGACACATACACTGTGCTCGTGATTTCAAGGTGAACAAGTGATAAACTCTCTGCTTAACACAAATATAAAAACTGATGTAACATCACTTAACCCATGAAAAGTGTTCAAAAGGTTAACTCAATGAATGAATTTAAACTATAGTCCACGATCATTCAATACTTACGTGGATTAGTCATTCATTTGACTACAACATCAAAAGCAAGGCATCTATCTCAGGGTGAAAAAATAAAAATCTGAACAATTTAAGCACAAACCTTTTCCACCGACTTGAATGTCACTCACAAAATTGACAATGGATTACATAAAGCAAGTAAGAAAGATATCACCTTGAGAAATGGATTGGCACACAAATATAAAGGGGAGAGAGTGAGATTCCCCCCAACTTGAAGCAAAATGTACCTATAAAAGATTAGAAATTGGCATCTGCAAAATAAATAAAATAAATGAGTTAGTTTTTGAAAGAAAAATAGAACTACCAAAGTTAAAGATATATATGTTTTTTTTTTGACTCCGCTCGAGGAAGTGCGAGATTAGACAAAACATAAAAGAAAAGACTAGGTGTTTGCCGCCCAAGTGGGACCATGTCACCACTCGAGTGGTTCAAGGCAAAAATATGGGTTTTGCCTCTCAAGCACTAAGGGCCCTCTGCTTAAGCGGAAATGAACAAAAAAGAAAGAAAAGAAAGCAAAGAAAGAAAATAAAGAAAGAGATAAGCGACCTTAAAAATGACACAAAACAATAAAAGCTTGGGTTTCCTCCCATGTAGAGCTAAGTTTATGGTCTATAGCTAGACCTAATGAAGCACAATCAATCATCCAATTCCCGTCACATCGGGGTCCAATATGACATTCATATGTCAAAACATGTTCACCAGACTACTCACACTAGGCCCTAAGAAGGCATGCTTGAGTGGCACCGAAAGTGGTTCCTACTCAAGTTGTTGGAGGGTCCATGAAGAGAAGAATCGGTGCACTAGCAACGATAGGCAATTCCTCAGGCAGTGGAGATGCTTCTTTTACTAAATCATTCATCACACCCACCAAGAACACTCCTCCTTTGGGGGTTGATTTGGAACATGAAATACATTAAGTAACATTCATATTCCGAAAGGATGCATCTATTACCCTAATCCTACAATTGATGCAAGCATTAACTGTAGCTAAGAAATGACGACCTAAGATGACAATAATTTGTTTCATAGGAATATGCACCGGCCCATATCAAGGACAAGAAGCCCACTAAATAGTAAAACTTTTCCCCTTGACTAGAACATCCTCTATCAGCCCACGTGGTATTTTAATGGATCTAGCAGCTAATTGCAAGGATACTATTGTGAGCTTTAACTCTCCCAACTTAAGTTGCTTATACACTAAGGAAAAAATTTAACACTCTCGCTCATAAGTCCAAGAGTGCTTGGTCTATGGAATGATTTCCTATGACGCATTGGATGGTGGGCGCACCAAGATCTTTGAACTTGGGTGGGGTGTTGTGTTTAATAATAAAGCTTACATGATCAATGCGAAATACCTTCTTAGATACACGTGCTCTAGATTTCCACTTTTATGTGCAAAGGTCCTTCATAAACATGGCATACTTTGGAAATTTTTTTATGGCATCTAGGAGTGGGAGGTTGATTTTGTCATGTTTAAAAACCTCAAACATGTCTTTCTTTGTCACTCTTTTTTGTTAAAGGGAGAGGGTGCATCTAAAAACCTAGGAAGCATCGACATGTCTGCCAAGCCCACGTATCAGTGTCGGACACGTGTCGGACACGCAGTAGACACATGTCCGACACTCGGCCTGCCGTGGCCCTTTTTTTTTCCCCCTCATCTCAGACATATCTTGGACATGTTTGCGAGAGAGAGAGTTGGACATGTTCGCGAGAAAGAGAGAGAGAGAGAGAGAGAGAGAGAAGAAGAAGAAGAAGAAGAAGAAGAAGAAGAAGAAGAAGAAAAAGAAGAAGAAATACCAGAAGATCTGTTCAAGTGACATGTTTGAGACCCATTGAGCACTATTTGAAGTCGCAGCTGCAAGAGAGATGAGAGAGAGAAGACAAACAAGCTTTTCCATTTGCGAGAGGAAGCGTCCTGCTGCAACAAATTTTTGTTCTCTCTCCTTGTATTCGTAAAAGGTATACAACTTTCCACCTACCAGACTAATAAAAGGTTCTACCTAGAAGTCAAATGGTCAAACACAGCTAGCTTCCACCTACTAGTCAAATGGTTAAAATAATTATTTGAATGTATATTTTTGCTGAATGTGTGATATGGTTCATTTTTGGTATTTTAACTTGCACTTGTGTGTTGCAACTGAATGTTTAAATTTTAATTAGTGTTAAATTATTTTTTTTATAAAATTAAATAAAATATTTATATATATGAGGTATATTATATAAATAAATAGATACATTTTTAACGTGTCGAGTTCGGCATTTTTTTGAAAATTAACGTGTCGGCGTGTCCATGTCGTGTCCGTGTCCGTGCAACATAGCTAGAAACTGTATGAAGGGGACCTTGGGCACAAAAGTGCCTCCGGAATCGCACTAGATGAAGAATGAGAGGGATGGGAATCCCCCTTTGATGCACTCACTCCCTCGACCCCATGATCCACAGGGTCATCAATGGACTCACCTTTTTTAACCCTTGCTCTCCCAACCTTATTATTACCTATTACCCGTCCACTCCTTAAGGTCGTGATGGATTTGGCTTGCTTATAGTGTTGGTCATGCACTTGAGCATTATTTTTGCATTTTAACCTTTTGGATTTCTCATTGGTTGGCTTGGAAGCTTCCCTTCCTCCCTTCTGTGGATAGCATTAGCTAGTTGCCCCAATTGAGATTCACACTTAGATATAGATTTTGTATGGGAGTGTAGCAATTGAGAATAAGATTCAAGGCTTTGAAGGGCTGTCAATACCTTTTCCCTAAAAGCGATATGGGGGGGGGGGTGGAGGAGTTGGTGTTGGTATTGCTGTGAAGGCTAGGACGAAGGATGAGGTGGATTGGGGAAATTTTTCCTTGAAGGTTGAGTAGAGGAGTTATCTGGAGCTTGTTGATTCCAAGAAAGATTGAGATGATTCCTTCATCCTAGGTCGTAGGTATTTGAGAACGGATCATTCTTGGTCTAGAGTAGCCCTATGTAGCTTCACCTGCTCCTGGACAATCTCAAGAAAGTTTGGGGCTGATGAACACTGACTTACGTGGTGAGCAGGACTAGAACAAATGGCACATGCCTTGTGTAAAATAGGAGAATGTGGTGGAGTACGCATGTATCCAACTGACATCAGCTGATCTAACTTGCGAGACAATGCGTCCACTTTAGCCGAGACATCTACGGAGTGTTCAACCTCATAAGTGCTTCATTGCTTTTGGGAACCAAAAGATGTAAGTTTCTCAGAACGAGTGGCGGAGCATGTTGAATGGAATTTTCACTAAGGTTTTCAAACAACTTCGTGCCTCTTGCTCACTTTTGAGCATAAATGTTCCACCACATGATGCATCAATCATTTGACGATTGTGGTTAGAAAAACCATCGTAAAAACACTGAACTAATTGCAAGTTGAGCAGTGCATTGTGGGGATGATGCAAAGTATAAGAAGCTCAAGGAAGGCTAAATTCAAAGAAGCGATGGTACTTTGACATTGGTATGATTTTAAAGAGAAATTGATAGGAATATTGTCTAATTATGTTTCTAGTATTTAATCTTATTTTATGATTATTTTTTATATTTTTTAGAATTTTTAGGTGAGGGTTATTTTGGTAATTTTTATATTTTCTAGCATGGGCTATAAGGATCTTGTTCATGGGCTGTCTTGTGAGTTCAAGTTATTTAATTGGTTTTTATTTATGTTTCTTATTTGGTTTTAAATGGGTTTTGAAAGTCAAAAATAATTTTAGTAGTTTCCTTTTTTAGTTCTAGTTGGTTTAGGAAGTCACCTAATTCTATCTATATAAAGCCTTGTAATACTTCTAATATATTAGAGTTGATATTTTAAAGAATTTTCAAAACTTTGAAGCCTCTTTTGGGTTTGTGTGATGCAACCCTAACTGCAGTTGTGAAACCTATGAAACCTAGCTTTACACCACCATAAAAACTAACAGAATTTCAGTTTTAAAGTCCTCACAGAGCTGTCATACATCAGGGGACATTTGCAAATGTGGTCCTTTAACCTCTCCTATGTTTCATGAAATTTCTTGTCATCAATTTAAGAAAAACTAGTGACGGCTCACCTGATTTGGTTAGTCTTGTCAATGGTGAAGTACTTTTTCAGAAATTCTTGTTGCATCCGAGCCCATGTGGAGATGGTGTTAGCCACCAAGGAATTGAGTCATTGCTTAGCTCTATCCTTAAGCAAAAAGGGTAAAAGACACAATCTTAGATCATCATTGGTGAAGTTTTGAAACTTACCGTCAAATTTCTAGGAATTAGTCTAGTTGCTTGTATTGATCTTCACTGTTAAGTCCAAAGAGGAGTGAAGTACTCCCTCAACTACTTACGAGGGGAGGGGGGGTCTTGCTCGTCTGCCATTGCCGAATGTAGAAGAGTTTCTAAAGCTCTAGTGGTTCAAGAGGATGCTCACAGAACTCTAAGGGTGCGCTCTATTTAAGGGTCAATAGGGATTAACTTTGGATGACAAGAACGACACCGTATCATGCAAATACGAGACACCGCACTTCTTGTAACTAACTCTAATACACAAAATTCAATTAATTGTAAACAAATAAAACTCACAACACTTGGTTGAAAGAATATATATATATTTTCAATTTACTCCCTTTGAGACTTGAATTCTGCAGTGGCACTGGCAAAAGCTGCAAGTCCTTTCCGCCTACAATCACTTGAAATAATTGCAATCATCAAATAGAACAAAATAAAAAAGAGTACACAAAACCTAAACTAAGAATGAAAATAAGAATTTAAGCAACTGACAGTCCCACTTTGCTCTCTTGACTTCGGTTACTCTAAAATAAGCTCAATTTCATCCCAAGATCCCAAGCAACCTTTATTCATGCAAACGCATCAAAGAATCAAGTAACAATGGATTCATGGACTTAACAAGTGTAATTTAGGGGGCCTTATGTGTACATTTCGGCACATATCACTAATTAGTGCTATGACCATGTAATAGTGACATTTGCAATGATTGTTTGAGGCAATAGGTGTTTGACATGGGTGTAAAGATTTTGACATAAAGACCTTGAATCAATTTAGAATTTTGGTAGGATGCATTGCGTACTTGCAATGGAATTTGGCAGAAGTAGAACGCTGTCAGACACAATGGTGTGACACAAATTTTCAGAACACAAGGACAATCATGTCATTAGCGTAAAAAGCATCCAGGCCTAGTGTATTGACTGGCAGATCAACTGAAAGAAAACTTAATAGTGACAGTGGAATATATGCTTATATTCAAAAACTGTATTTTTAGGCTAAAGATAGAGAACTTGGCTTTTGCTTTAAACTGTCAAGGTTACACAAGTAGTGAATTCTAGAATTTATTGGATTTCTAATTTTTCTGTTCATTGTTTGGATGGTTCCTAAATAGCAAATGTCTGCGACCTGTATAATCTTTACTTTGAGATTTTTCTTATTTACAAAAGATGACAAACATTCAACAATCTATGTAATCTGTGTTGGTTTATAGATGGATCAATTCCTGCCATCAAATTATCTACTTATAGGCGGCGCTTAAAGTCGGGATCTGAGGTAGGAAACTTATTAGATTAACTTCACATTGTTTTCTTTCTTTTGGATTTTTAAGTTTTTTCACATTAAAATTCTCTATTGTACTAACTGTAGTTGTTAATTAAGGCAGGCTACGCAGGATGAAACAAATTCACTTAAAGTGACTTCACTTCGAAGAAATATGGGATCTGAGTTTTCTTGTATGATAAAAGAGGCCAAACTCCTTGGTGTGGCACTTGGGATTCCTTGCTTAGATGGGTAATCTTGATTTACTTTGAGAATTTTCATCTAACTTGCAAATGAACTCTAGAAGTGGAGATGATGAATAAGAAATGATTTTGGAAGGTTTATGATGATTAATATTTCTTTCTTGAGTGTATTGATTTTTCTGTTTTGGTCTTTGAGGTAACATTCTCCTTTAGAAAGAGAAGACATAACAGAGAAGATGAAATGAGATGTTGTATATTCAGAAGATACTGACTAGTAGTCACTCACCTTTCACTCTGTTACATTTGACTCAGAACTAGTGAAGTATTTTTGAGTTATTAGGTTGTGCCCCTCCTCATGTGGACCTTTTCAAGGTTGGTATTTTAGGTTATTTGTTGGTCAAGTTTGCTTGTTTGGAGGCCTGCTTTACTTTTCTCATACTGGTGCATTTAGAAGTAGCAAAAGAGGATTTACAAAATTCTTGGCCTGAATTGAAGTTATTTGGAATAATATATTTTCACTGGCTTTACTTATCAAAAGAAATTTCATTGGCTTCAAGGTCAAGTCATATTTCAGAGAAATGACTTTTCCGGAGTTTTCAGATAATCTCGACCTATCACTGCTGAGATTCTTGTGAGTTGGAAGGAAGTACCTGCTGTTTGCATCTTTGGTTTGTGAGAGTGATATTTTCTAATAGGTCTAATGTTAAATTGAAGTTTGTTATAGGAAGAGGCTGCAAAGAGGGCAATCTTAGAGGGTGAGAATTAGCCATCTTAATGTGGTTATAATAATCTTATGCATGTGTTTGGCATATCATTAAGACACATCCTGGACAATTTTTAGACACCACTTCCAGGTTTAGTATATCTCATTTTAAGGGTTTTCAATTTCATAGTTGAAATGAGATGCAAAATTATAAGTATCTTTTCTGATACATCAGCCAATATCTCCTCTCACTTTGATGCCTAGGGGTAGTCAATAAACCAGAATCCATCTCCACTGGAGCAAAAATTCGTAAATATGAAAGAAGAGAAATTGCACCCTTAAGTGGGCTATGAAGCACGACATTTCAAAATGGGTGCCACGTCCATGTCGGACACATCTGACACCGACACGCCAATGTCTGTGTGTCGGACATACCACATGGCGTGTCAATTTTTTTAATTATCTTTATGCAAGACACTTTGGGGACACTTCATGGACATGTATGTCTTGTGTTTGGTCATGTCTCAAGATTCCTTTGTGAGTTCTTTTTTATTTTTTTCCAAAAAGCTAATTTGGGATCAAAGTCAAATATATGAAAACAAAATGGGAGGAAAGTGAAAAAAAAGAACCCACATATACAATAATGCCTCTTATATCTATGTGCCCTAAATTTATATTCATTTACATAACATACAAAAAATTGTTGTATCCCCGTTGCGGATACCATGCCTTCTGGCGCACCCACACGTCGGAGTTTTATGTATGTGAATCATCGAGGTCTAAATTGGCAAATATCTTGTATTATTCTCACAAATCGATTTAGCTTACAAATTACCAAATAAAGACTGATTCACAGAGATTGGAGCTGCCATTTAATTTTTAGGAGAAACTAGGAAACCCTAACTCCATGTTAATTTAGGCTACTAATCTGTCACAACCAAAAAATCTCAGTTCGGGAGTTTAGATACAAAAGGGAAAGGTCATTAATATGAGTATCCCTTTCGTCTAATCAATTGATTAGCCTCTGCTAATTCTTTTTTTATGACATTTATTTCTTTAATTAATTTCACATATTTAATTTTGGGAAACTTACGTGTAGGTCCTAATAAGTGGACTTATTATCTAATAGGTCCTATGATAATTAATGACGTTTTTCATCAAACACTATTAAAAAAGTCATTAATTGTTAATTTTCAGCGACAGTTTGAAAATTGTCAAAAAAAAGTCACTATTATAAGTTTTAGCCACAGTTCACAAAAATTGTCGCAAAAAAAGTCACTAATTTTCAAGGAGCAGATTGGGACCGGTCGTATAGTTAGAGACCTCTATGTGGTGAGCTTGCATCTACCTATGACTAAATTTCCAGCTGCATTTTCCTCTTTTCAGTTAGATTCTCTATCGAGCCCTTTTTATTTGTGGCATTCTAGATTAGGGCATTTGTCTGCTAACTGCTTACAATTTTTAGCTCAGTTAGGTTTATTTAGTAAAGTTTCTCCTAGTCAACTTACCAAGTGTCAGGGGTGTAAACTTGCCAAAACGACAACCTTGCCTTTTCATAAAAGTACTTCTATCTCTGATACACCATTTTCTTTAGTTCATACTGATGTCTGGGACTTTTCTCCTGTTCTCACCAAACGGGATTCTGCATACTATTATGTGTCATTTGTTGATGATTGCACCCATTACACTTGGGTTTATCTTATGAATCATAAGTTCGACTTCTACTAGATATACCGTACTTTTCAGTCAATGATCACTACATAGTTTGGCTTGGGTGGGGAATGTTTTAAAACTGAGTTCTGTGAATATTTGGCTAACTTGGGTAACATTCACCAAACTTGTTGTACTAATACACTTGCCCAAAATAGTGGAGCTAAGCGTAAACACTGTCATCTCCTTGAGATAGCTAGGTCTCCTTTTCTCTCTGTCTTTGTTCCGGCTTCGTTTTGGTATGAGACATTGCTTACTGTTGCTTTTCTTCTCAACTATATGCCTACTCCCCTACTCTTTGGTCATTCTCTTTATGAGGCTCTGCTTTTCCTACTTCCCAATTACTTCCTCTTACGTGTTTTTGGGTCTGCTTGTTTTGTCCTTGTTTCCCGTAAAGATAGGACCAAACTTAGTTCCTGTTTTGTGTATCTTTTTAGGCTACAGTCTAACCCAGAAAGGCTATCGCTATTACGACCTTGTTTCTCGTCGCCTTTATGTCTCTTGCCATGTTGCTTTTCTTGAATGTCTAGCTTACTTTCAGTTTCCTCCTATCACTGCTCCGGTTTTCAAAGAAGATTTGGTTTACATTGATCCATTTCCTTCTGAGGTCTCTCTTGATAAGTGCATCTCCACTATTCCCTACGAGCTTGCTCCCTCTTCTTCTCCTACCGCCCTCCTGCTGAGTCCCTCTCCACTGTCGCCCATGAGTTTGTTCCTTCCTCTCCTCCTCTTCCTCTTCCCCCTCTCCCTCCCCCTCCTCCTCCTTGTTCTCCTCTGTTGTTAGTCTGTTCTCATTGCAGGGCTCTCCCTCCACCGGTTGTCTCTGCTCCTCCCATTGATCCTATTGCACACTGATATCCTGATCATGAATGTCATTCCCCGGATAGGTTGGGTTTTTCTAGTACAATCGACGAGCTGGTCGATTCTAGGTAGAGAAAAACAGTCTTTGGGCAAGCTTTGTTCAGATCCGTGAAGTCGACGCACACTCGCCAAGTCCCATTTTTCTTCTTTACCACCATTGTATTGGAAAGCCACATAGGGTAAGTGACTTCTCTGATTGCCCCGGCGTTAAGCAGTCTGTCTACTTCCTCAACAACGGCGGCAGTGTGCTCCGTGGCTGACCGTCGGCCTTTCTGAATGATCGGCTTACATTTCAGATCGACATTCAGATGGTGCTGTGAAACTAACGGGCCTATTCCCGGCATTTCGTACGGAGTCCACGCAAAGACGTCAAGGTTGTTGAGCAAGAAAGAGATCAGCTGCTGCCTGTCAGCCTGATTCAGAGAGGCGCCGATTATGAAGAACTTTTCTGGGCTGCCATCAATGTTAACTCGGTCTAAATCTTCCGTGGCCTTCTCATTTGGATACCACCCAACATCGTCCAGGATCTCCCGATTCGGCACCTCTATGGAGTTTACTTGCAGTTCCTTTCTGCTTCCTATCTTGCCTTCTTGTCTGTTAGTCATTCTTTTTTAGGACCCCAGTCTTACAAGGAGGCCTGTCAGGATCCTAATTGAGTTTGAGTTACGGAGGATAAGTTGTCTCCCTTGCAGAAACCTACTACTTGGGAGCTGGTTCATTTGCCTCCTGGCAAGAATCTAGTTGATTGCAAATGGGTTTATAAAGTCAAGACTTATTCTGATGATTCTCTCGAGCGATACAAAGCTTGCCTGGTTGCTAAAGGTTCTCACAGGAGTATGGTATTGATTATGAGGAGACCTTTGTCTCTGTTGCTAAGATGACTACTGTGCTTTAATTTCTATTGTTGTTGTTTGTTATTGGCTTCTCCATCAAATGAATGTTAAGAATGCTTTTCTTAATGGCCATCTTTTTGTGGAGGTTCACATGCGTTCTGCTGGCCTTCTCTATTCCTCTGGCCATGTTTGTCGTCTTCGGCTTGCTCTATATGGTTTGAAGTAATCTTTTCGTGCTTGGTATAATCGCTTTCAGGCCGTTGTCACTCAACTTGGGTTTCATTCTTGTGCTCAGGATTCAACTTTGTTTCTCCTTTACACCTTTATTGGTTTTGTTGCCCTGTTACTGTATGTAGATGATATGATCATCACTGGCTCTGACTCTTCTGCTATCTCTGAGGTCAAGCAACATCTCTTTCGCATTTTTGAAATGAAGGATCTGGGCCCCTTGTGGTATTTTCTTAATAATGAGGTAGTTTCTTCTCTTAAAGGCTATTTTCTGTCTCAGGCCGAATATGCAAATGAGGTCATTCACCGTGCCGGTCTTATTGATACTAAGATTTCTGATATCCCCATTGAGCTTAATGTAAAGCTTAGCACTATTGATGGTGTCCTCTGGATAATCGTACTTTATATCAAGAGCTTGTAAGTTGTTTAGTCTATCTGACTGTCACTCGCCTTGATCTTGTCTATGTTGTTCATGTGGTTAGTCAGTTTGTTTCTGCTCCTCCTTCTACACTTTGGGTTGCTTTGGTTCACATTCTTCTCTATCTCAGGGGTACTATATTTTAGGGCTTACTGTTGTCCTCCACTTCCTTTTTGGACTTGGTGGCCTATGCTGATTTTGATTGGGCTAGTGATGTTACTGATCTCAAATCTACTTGTGGCTTCTGTATGTTTCTTGGTGATTCATTGATTTTTTAGAAGAGCAAGAACCAAACCTTTGTTTCACGTTCCACTGTCGAGGCTGAGTACCGTGCTATGGCCTATGCCACTGCTGAGATTGTTCGGCTTCGGTGTCTTTTGTTTGATTTGGTGTACTTTAGTCTTCTCCGACCTCTCTTTACTGTGACAACTACAGTGCTATTTAGATTGCCTATAACATTGTCTTCTATGTGTGGACAAAACACATTGAGATTGATTGTCATTTTGTTTGTCAGCATTTGCAGTCTGGCTCTATCTCGTTTCCTTTTGTCGCTTAGCATTGCAACTTGCTTACTTCTTTACCAAGACTCACACTACTACTACTTGTTTTCAGTTTCTTCTTGGCAAACTCTCAGTGTTTTCTATTAAAACATCTTAAGTTTGAGTGGGGGTGTGAGAATATTATGTTAATTATGTAAATATATTAGATTGATTGTAAGAATATAGGGTTTTATTCTTATTTCCTTTTTTAGATTAGGTCTATATAAATCAGTTGTACTCTTTGTATTATAGATTTGGTCTATTGTATACAATTGAATAGATAGAGTTATTCAGAATTCTTACAATAGCAACTCACAACAACCCAAAACATTTCTATAGTCAAAGCTCAACACTTTTCATCATCGGGAATCATTCAAAAGCTTGAGTTTTTATGGTCAGTCAAAATGGGGTGTCTACACCCACCATGTTCATATCCTAATTTTTTAAAAATTGTTGTCCTGTGTTTATACTTGTGTCCGTGTCCATACTTCTTAGGTTGCAAGAAACTCCTAAATGGGGGGGACTTGCTCTGAAACATCAATCCCTCTCTTGCCCTTGCTCCTGCTCCCAACTTTAAACTGTTTATAGGGCCTCGTTCTCCCATTCCCGCTCCCGCTCCTGCTTACCCAATGCACAAGATCATTTATGACTAATGTGGGTAATAAATTTGATTATTTTTGAAAATTTTGCATGTTTCTAAAAGTTTTGAGTGGCAATTGGTTTGCAACATATATATGTACTTCCGTAACTCTGTGGGTTGTAATACTTCTGTGAATTCATTACTTAAAAGTATCCTTATTGTTTTAAACATATAAACATACGCATTAGACTTGAATGCCATTTTCATGTTTTCAATGAAGTAAGAGTAGCTTGTTGATTTCTATTATTTTGAAATGAACTGCATCAAGGAGAAACAAAGGTTTTTAAACTTTGATTCTGTGAAAATCTGATTGCGACATAACATCATAACATCATAATCATCTGTGTCGTATAAAAGCTAGGAATGTGCATTTGCTTGTGCTGGAAATTGTGTTCATGCATATAATATGATAGTGGTGTTGGTGGTAGATAGTGGGACATAACATCATAACATCATAATCATCTGTGTCATATAAAAGCTAGGAATGTGCATTTGCTTGAAACAGTTCGACCACTATAATAACCCTTGCATTTTTCCAAACAATATTCAGGGTTGAGGAAGCTGAAGCTCAGTGTGCATTGTTAAATTCTGAATCATTATGTGTAAGTAGAATCTGTTACTTTTATTTTTTTGGATTAAATGATACTTAATAGGGACTCATGAGGCGGGTGACAATCTCATAATTATTGTTGTTATTATTATCATGTCACCAGGATGGATGCTTCACTTCAGATTCTGATATTTTCCTGTTTGGTGCAAGGACAGTATACAGAGATATTTGCCTTGGTGAGTAATTAGATGGGTTTTTGTTGATTCTGAATTTGTTCTACTCAAAACATCCTTATTTTGATTCAGTCCTTTTGGTGCTAGTAATGCTGACTAGTTGCTAATGATTTAGGGGAAGGTGGCTATGTTGTTTGTTATGAAATGGCTGACATTGAGAAAAAGCTCGGGTTCGGAAGGAACTCCTTGGTAATTTTCTTTCTGGAAAGTTTCTGATAAAATAACCACTAAGAGATTTGAGTTCCATTTTTAGAGTAAGGTTACAGGAAAAGAAGGGAAAAAAAAAGTTGTGGTTGGAGACACAAATTTTGAAACGTGAAGTGTTTCAACACATTTCAAAATTCATGTTACAAATGTCCACTATTTGGTTTTTGGATTAAACAGTGTAGATTATTTGATTAGCAAGTTCCTATTTTCCATCTGTATTTCAGATCGTTAATTACACATTTTATTTAAATGAAGCCTCTTATTAATGAAGAACAAGAAAATTAACAGAAAATAATATTGGGAAAAGAAATATTTTGTTGAAATTGTTGTGGGTTTTAAACCATTGAACACAAAGTACAATTCTTGGGCCTAGAACCCTTTACCTATTCATTGCTATTATGCGTTTGTAGTGTAGGCTCTTTGAGTTCTCTGAATTTCTCCTCTTCTTTCTTGTGAAGACTTCTTTAACTCTTGATTTCATTCTCTCTCTCTTTCTAACCTTTGATTGTTTGACTTTTGATTTTCGATCTCCCTTTTTGTGTGATGATCCCTCATAATTATAGAGGGCCATCCAAGTGATAAGAGTGCCTCATCCTCAATTTGAACAAATTGAATGATAACGCCATTTGAATTTGAATGATAGCGCCATTTGAATTTAGGTGTAACCAATGACCATATCTGATTAATCGTATTGATCCTTTGGATTTCATCCTGTGTAGTGTCCTTGCTATAGGCTCTACAGGTGTTATCTTTTGTAGGCTCCACATGTCATTTGAATATCTTGAATAATGTCGTTGAGATATGACATCGTTTTATTTATCCACTTCCACGGATCAAGTTGATCATAGGCGCTATATGTGTCATTAACTGATTGACTATATTTGAAATTTGAACATTAATTTGGTTGAAATTTATGTGCCCATAGTGGTACATGCCTTTGGGTGGGAAAAATATGATCAAGATTTGATCCCTTTCATCTGGAAGTGAACAAATGGTGACCGGTCAATGGTTCAGGGTGGAATGTGCGACCCATAAAAAAAGTACATGTATTCTATCAAATGCAGGAGCCTTTTCACATTTAACTGATCTAGTATAATAAAACCAAATTTCCAGTTTATAGCTTATCACATGGGATTTAATTTGTCCTCAAGTATTATTATAACTTTATGACTATGATCTTCAGATTACACTGGCCATTCTTCTTGGCAGTGACTACTCTCCAGGAGTTCGTGGGCTTGGTCCTGTAAGTTGAATAGTCTATTGCTCCTCAGATTGGTTGGATTGCATTTTTTCTCCCTTCTATTGAATGATTTGCAAAGTACCAACCTGCTTACAGGAGTCTGCATGCCGGATTGTTAAGTCAGTGGGTGATAGTGCCATTCTTCAACAAATTGCATCAGAAGGATTGTCATTTGCAAAGAAGTTAAAGGGTTCAAGGAAACAAGGGCACATTATCAGATGCAGTTACAAAGAAAACGAGTCGGATCATGAAATGAAAATTAATGGTAAACCAAACAAAACATACCACCAATGAATTGTGAATATTCTGGTGTAGCCTGCATTTGGATCTTTATGCCAGATAAACTCTGAATTTAGTTAACCCAATTATATCCAAACTGATAGTATTGCTAAGTACTTTCATAAGTGGTTTTGGGAATAAATTTTAATTCCAGAGAAGCAATATCTTTAGCCCAAGCAATTTAATATTCTGTGATATGATTTTTAATCTCTAATGTTGGCGATATTGATGTATCCAATATTTTTTAGTGTGTCCATAATTAAAAGTTCTCCGATGCAAGGTGTATAACACAACAAGCTCTCTGTTCTCCTTTTTCTTTATCTTCATGCTAATATAGAAAATGGAGAAATTGATGATCATATCCTGACTAGAAAAAAATGGCATTATAGTCGGTATATTTTGCTGTGCAACAATTCATTGGTGTATAGCGGTAAGACAAAAAAGCTGTAGTAGTAGTGGAACATTCCTAGAAAGTAACGAAAGGAGAAAGCAAAATGTCCCTAGAAATCATGCTTTATCCTAGTTGTACTTCCCAGGGGTACTCTATTGCATCAAATTGATACAAGGCAGTGAGAAGAGAAGGCTATAATAATAGTTGAATGTCCCCAGAAAAAGCATTAAAAGGATAAAGCTAGACTTTATATGTTCTTATGGTCTTCTAGATCTTTGGTTGTCTAACTCTTGCAATGGAATATATCGTTGTTTTGGTAGGAAGTGAACCTGATTTACAAGGGGAAGATCAATTCCTGCAAGTGATTGACGCATATTTAAAGCCAAAGTGCCATTCAGGTGACTCTGAGGCTGTTCATAGGTGGGGGTTTCACTGCTTGCTTATTTGTTTTTTTTTTCCCCACAGTACTACTTGCACCAGTTGCTATCAATAAGAGGATTAAGAAATCGATCTTTTTCTGAAAGTCATTTAGGACCTTGTTTTGGAAACAGGGCTGTGAACTTGCCCAAGTTTACAAAAAAAAAAAAAAAAAAAAAAAAAAAAAAAAAGAGGTAATGAAACATTCTAACATTAACTACCTAAATCTTGTAGGGTTCTTGCTCTGTATCCGTTTCAACGCACCAATATTCAACAGATATGTACTCAGTTTTTTGATTGGCCTCCTGAGAAAACAGGTTTTGTAATTCACAATCTTAATTATGTATTCTAGAGTAACTTGCAAGCATGCACATGTTCACATCATTTGGATTCATGAGCTTTTTCGAGTTAGGTATCTGTACTTCTATCATCTAGTTGGTTCACTGGTTCATTTACAAGACAATATCAATTACCTCCTTATTGGGCTGTTCCTCAGCTTATAGATTTTTGTTACAGCATGGGCAACCAGCATTGGAACCTTTCTTTCAGACGTTTAGTAACACTGCAAGCTGATCATAACTATTGTTATCACATTTTTCTGTCGATCACTGATGAGAAGGAATGGCTAGGCTACCAATGAGAATTTTATTTATTATTTTGTGGTTGAAATTTTGGGATTTTTTTTCTTCTCTGATGTTCAAAATTCAGAAATTTGAAATGGTCAGATAGCGTTCGACTACTATTATTCAAAACCTGAAATTGCGGAGAGGAAGTATGATATTTTTTAATCAGTGAGAATCACAAAGGAAAAAAAAGAGTTGCTCCTCGTGCGATTAAGGGGAGGCTTGTTCTGTCTATTTTCATATTTATCTTGTTTAGTATTTGTGTTTCAGATGAGTATATCCTACCTAAGATTGCTGAAAGAGACTTACGGCGGTTTGCTAATTTGCGTTCTACTTCATCAGAACTAGGACTTGGGCTTCCATTGGACAAGGTACTGTTTGATAGTTCTTGCTTTTTTTATCCTAGAATTTTACTCAATTGTATGGCGTGTTGAACTTCAATCTCTTCTGAAGTAATCAATTGACTCACTCCCAGAAGGTGAACTTGTATTGCTGCTATATTTGGGAGTTAATATTACTAGGCTTGCTTGGACATTTTATGAAATTGGAATTTATTTTTTTATTTTCTTTCTCAATAGGGTTTGAGACAAAAGTATATATATATATATATTTAATGGAGCCAGTACAACCTTCCTCCCACTATGAAATCTAGTTGTGCCATCCATCTATGGAGCAATTGATAAACTTTCCGATGTTTGGGGCTTTTGATAGAATACACGATAAATCCTTTCTTGGCCATCAAAATCATTACAATGTGTACCAACTGCTTCCTGGAGTGAGCTTGCTCTAATGGCACTTGTGTAATCCATGGAGCAGCATTCAACCCCATAAACAATAAGGGGCAAAATTAGAGCCATCAACATCATTATTACAGAAAAACCCAAGGATGTCTTTTCATGCTTGGATAAAAATTGAGTTCATAACTAAATGGCTTCATAAAGTGCCCAGCATGTGTAATATGAATAATTGGTAAATTTTGATTTTATATACTTGTATACTTTCATCTTTGTACTCCATGGTATCAAAATCTCGGCAAATAATTCATTTGGGGTTCTATCATGTTACTCTACTGACCAAGATTTTGTTGTTTCAATACTTGGCACCGACTGACAACTCTTTTCTGAGTACAGATGCCTGTCAAGTGTCCTGTATCTGGAATCATCAAGCAGAGAAAAATTCAAGGACAAGATTGCTTGGAGGTTTCCTGGGAAGAAATGCATGGGCTTAACACCTCAATAGTTCCAGCTGATCTAATTGAGAGGTAATGACCATCACTATTGGTACTGTCATTGTTGTTGTACTAGACTACTAGTAAAATAGTAACAATTAATTGATTGCATTTCTTTGAGGTATGCATGGTAGGCATGATGAAATAGGTTTCTAATTTAACTTCATATTTGAGTTGAATGACATGAAGAAAAAAACCCAAGCAAGCCTTTACAATTTTACTTGGCATTTTGAGAACAATGAAAAACATGTGTTACCTCCGATCAAGCCTAGAAGTGAGTGACAATATCCTAAACAATTTTCTCTTGTTTAATCAAATAAAAAAAAGTGTAATAGCAACAAATCTTCCTCATAGAAAGGAAATTCATTTCAAATTAGCCTCAAGTCGTTGCCACTTAGGTTGGGATTCAATTCTTGCTTGGCTTCATTTACGACCACATCCTCAGTAGATTGTATGTAGTATTTCTTTCTGTAATTTCTTGACTTACCACTCAAACATCATAAATTGCTGTTGTTGGGCTTGGAACATTTGGTGATCTAGCAATTATCTCTACCATAAAAGGCATGCCATTTCATGGCTTGTTAGCGTCTGATATTGTAAATTGTAGCTGCTTTAGAATCATACTTCAACTTGGTGGAGATTTAGTGCTCACTCAAAATTTCAGTGGCATTTCTCCACCTGTATTTCAGATGCCAAGAAGATTAGCATTGGTCAATACTCCTATATTTTCCACCCTAAGAGTGGAGCATCTCTTGGAAGGATTTCAAGACATGCTTGGCAAAAGAAAATAAGTTTCTGAGTTGTACTGCATTCATCCATACCATCTAGTTATACTAACCTTCATTTTTATTATATTAAATTAAGGACGATAATATATATACATATATATATATATATATCTGAATTTACAAACTTTACAAACTGATGTGGCAATGAGTTGTTACTATCATTTGAATCCAGTTTGGAATTTGAAATGAGGACCACTGGATTCAAATGATAGTAACAACTCATTGCCACATCGGTTTGTAAAGTTTGTAAATTCCAAAACTTCACTATTACATGGCACATCAGTTTGCATAAAAAAAACTGTAAGAAAAGTAAGCTTGTATACTATGTCTCCTTTAAAGATGTATGGCAGATGATTTCGATAGGATACTCAGTACCTTCCACTAATGGAAAATGTTCATTTTCTCCCTTTTCTCCCCAGAGCTTGTCCTGAAAAGATTCTGGAGTTTGAGGAGAGAAGAGCTCAACGAAACAAACCAAATCATCGTAAACCAAGAACAAAGAAATCAGAGAACAGAGCACCGATGAAAGAAATTGACCTAAAACTTCAAGATCTGCTTCTAGACATTGAACAAGAAAGCAGTGCCAGTCAGAGAGGAAATGAACCAAAGAGCTGTAAATTCCAAGACTTCACTATTACATGGCACATCAGTTTGGATAAAAAAAGCTGTAAGAAAAGTAAGCTTGTATACTATTTCTCCTTTAAAGATGTATGGCAGATGATTTCGATAGGATACTCAGAACCTTCCACTGATGGAAAATGTTCATTTTCTCCCTTTTCTCCCCAGAGCTTGTCCTGAAAAGATTCTGGAGTTTGAGGAGAGAAGAGCTCAACGAAACAAACCAAATCATCGTAAACCAAGAACAAAGAAATCAGAGAACAGAGCACCGATGAAAGAAATTGACCTAAAACTTCAAGATCTGCTTCTAGACATTGAACAAGAAAGCAGTGCCAGTCAGAGAGGAAATGAACCAAAGAGCAGAAATGCAGCTGTGATCAAAGGTGATCTGATGAACAAAAACCTGCGTATTTCTACCAAGTCAAAAGGCAACATTGAAAGCAACAATGCCGCAGATTGCTACACAACAGGTTCAAGTGTTGCAACTATGGAGGTCATTGATCTCTTGAGCCCTTCCCCACCCGTGCATGGCCGTATTGTTTCGAGATGTCAACAAGCCAATGTTGAATGTATCGACATGATTGACTTGAGTGAATCAGAAACTGAAGCATCGCCAGAGCACACCAGGAAGGCTAGAGAGTTGAGATTGTTCTTAGATAGCATCAGAAAAGACATTTCTTGAATATGACCATTATGCATATGTATATTGTATTTCTACAGAGTGTGTGAATGTGTGTGCACACTGTACTTTTCGTATTCATATATGATACTCTCCTTTTTCAGTGTCGTTAAAATGAAATGGTTCTTAGCATTGTTACAGATAGGCTAGCTGGGTTAAGGAATGTTCATTTGCTTCTTGTGTTATTACATTGTATAAAAAACTAGCACCTAGTCTTGGAAAAGTAGGCACTTTTAGATTGTTATTGTGATGTTATGAAGCAACTGACATCAGATTAAACAAGGCGGTGTTCACACAAAAATAAAAAAAATAAAAAAAGATTAAACAAAGCCAAAGCAATTCTAGCATGTCAATGAACAGGGTTAGGTCTCGAGTCTGGGAGGAACAAGAACAGGAACAAAAAGGAGAGAATGATATCGATTTTTTTTTTGGTAATTCAGAAATTCTGAATTTTGTGATCCCATTCCATTTTGACTCTAAATTTAGAAGTTCTAGAACCTTCTGCGTTTGACGCAGCTGTAAATCTGCTTGCAAGACTTAACCCGAGTTTATTTGCACTTTCATCCTATTTCTGACTGCAGGTTTCTCACGGGGCCAACTAGGCATAACAACAATTAATTACATTTATCATATAGGCAACAATTGTTCAGACATTTAAAAAGTATTCAATGTATTTGGTTTGAATTTTTTGGATTTAATTATTTGAAAATTGAGTTTTTTTATTTTCGTATTTTTTTATTTTTAGTGAATATTTTTAAAATTTTAAATATTTTTTTTTTACTTTTTTAGATGCACCTTAGTTAGATGCATCTAAAAAGTAAAAAAATTATGAAAAAATATTTTAAAAAATTAATAAATACATAAAAATATATTGAAAAAATATTTTTGTATTTTTAGTATCTTTTCAGCAAATTATCATTTTTTTTTCAATAAAATGTACTCAAAAAAATATGTACAGTGAAAGTGTACTCAAAAAATATTTTTTCAACAAAATATATGCTTTTAAAATGTACTAAAATATTTTAAAAGTGTACATTTTTTTATTTTTTCAGAAATATATAAAGTATAGAGTGAGTGAAAAAATACAAAAAATAAAAAAATGTACGCTTTTAAAATATTTTGGTACATTTAAAAGCGTACATTTTGCTGAAAAAATATTTTTTGAGTACGCTTTCACTGTGCATATTTTTTTGAGTACATTTTACTGAAAAAAATGATAATTTGCTGAAAAAATACTAAAAATACAAAAATATTTTTTCAGTACATTTTTTGTATTTTTTTGTATTTATTAATTTTTTAAAATATTTTTTCACAATTTTTTTACTTTTTAGATACATCTAATTAAGATGCATCTGAAAAAGTAAAAAAAAAATGTTTAAAATTTTAATAATATTCACTAAAAATAAAAAAAATACGAAAATAAAAAAACTCAGTTTTCAAATAACTAAATCCAAAAAATTCAAACCAAATACACTGAATACTTTTTAAACAATTATGTTGACATTTTGAAAAAAATTGTATTTTATAGAAAATTTTTTTAGTTAACCAAACAAACATTTTACCTTTTTTTGATAAAAAAATTACATAATAAATATATAAAGTATAGAGTGAGTGGAGGGAAAAAAAAAATAAAAAGAGTTGAACTTAATTGAAAGGTAGTAACTCCTGATAATTGAACCCATGCCACTCCGATGCAAAACAAATGCACTACCATTTGTGCTACAAAGCACTTAAGTTTCATTTTGATCACATTTTAATATATTATAAACATTTTCTTAAGGAAACAGATATGCACAGTGAAAGCGTGATTTGAAATCGTCCTATGCACAATGAAAGCTCTATTTCAAATAGCGTTTTCTTCAGAAAATTTTTTTATGTTAAAAGCGTGATTTGAAACAGCGCTTTCTTAATCAAAAGCGTGTTTTGGAATAACGTTTTCACTATTCATCAAATTTTGGACTCCAAACAGTAAAAACGCGATTTGTAATAACGCTTTAGCCTAGTTTGAGAAACCCATCCAAACTAGGCCTAGTTTGAGAATTAAGATGCAAAAGAAGCTTAATATAAGAAAAGCCCCGAGAATGATATCGATTTTGTTTTTGGTAACTCAGAAATTCTGAATTTTGTGATCCCATTCCATTGACTCTAAATTTAGAAGTTCTAGAACCTTCTGTGTTTGACGCAGCTGTAAATCTGCTTGCAAGACTTAACCCGAGTTTATTTGCACTTTCATCCTATTTCTGACTGCAGGTTTCTCACGGGGCCAACTAGGCATAACAACAATTAATTACATTTATCATATAGGCAACAATTGTTCAGACAAGTTGGCACTAGAGAAGTAGGGCTCACTTTGTTTCACGTAGCAGCTCCTTGTATCCTTAATTATTACTTATCTGATGATATGCTGCTACAGTAGTGAGGAGTTTGTTACCCGGCACTTCAAAATGCTAAATTTGGTTTACAAATGTTTCCTTTCCAAAAAAGAAAAAAGAAAAAGAAAAAAGACAACTCACCATATGGAAGCAACACTCTTACACTTTCTGCAAGTGCAACAACATTATTGTTCTAGAATTGAGGTTTCACAATTCTATTTTTCATCAAGGAAGCTAAGAGAACGACAAAGAAATGGGGCATTAGATACTCTCAGGTGTCTTACTGAAATGGTATGAAGATGGTTTCTGTACTGGTGTAGCAAAATATGATGGCAATTGGGACCCAGGAGGATAATCTGGAGCAGCAGGAAATTGTGACATCAATCCAGGGGATGAGAATGGGATTTGGTTAGGATATCCATAAAACGAATCAAACCTGGTAGACAGTTTTGAACTCATGTTGCCTGAGACAACAGAAGGAAAGATATTTACGGCCTCACTTGCAGGAAGGTGATTACCGTGTCCCAATGAGATAGAGGATGAAGGCAAACCCAAGTCCTCACTATTTGGAAAGGTAGCTCGAGCTTCAGGCAGCATCGATCCAGGTGGGCCAGGCCAAGCTGTCTGGCTTGGGACACTAGCAGAAATAGCTGCAGGTCCAGGGTATATTGGAAGTTGGCTCATGATTGACAATCCTGCAGGTGGTGGCCGGCCAGCCACCCTTACTGCTAGCATCTTCCCTTCCATTTTGTGCCCATTCATATGTGTCGCAGCCATGGCAGCATCAATGGGACTTTCAAATGTAACAAAGCCGTAGCCTTTACTGAAACCTGTGCTTCGATCTTTAATTACTTTCACTTCTGTGATTTTACCGAATGAACAAAACAGCTCTCTCAACTGGTTGTCATCAACAGCTTGAGGAAGATAGCCAACATAGAGGCTTGCATCATTGATTTCTTTGTTGGGTTTCCTTTTTGTGTTAGGAACTGAACCACTGCCACGCCCAGTACTGCACAAAGTGGTGCCAACCTGAGGTGATGTAATAAAGGGACAACTAGATGTGGGATGGCAAAAGCTTCCACACATTGCACAGGTGATCTCCATTTTAAAAGTAGATTGCCGGAGGGGACAGGCATAGTGCTTGTGTCCTTCCTCCTTGCACACACTGCAGATGTTCTCATTTCTATAAGTTCCTTTCAGTTTTGCAAGCTCCACCAGTTGGGCTTGCTTGTGTCCATTCATTCCTTCATCTATTGGGATTAGCAATTTCTCAACCATTCTTACAGCTGCATCCAGAGACTTCTGGTTATCTGCCTCTATACAAACATGCAAGTCTTCATCATCAGAAGAGGTATCAGGTTTCTGTGGTGCTTTCACAGAGCCTTTACCCCGCAGTAGAATCCTAGCTCCAGTTTCCTTCTCCATTCTCTTTTGTGTGTTTCCCCTTGGGCCAATTATAAGGCCAACAAAATTATATGTAGGATATTCTTTCACCGGTATGTATAGTTTTTTAAAGAGCTTTGGTGGCTTGTAATCAGGAAGAATTTTGAAGGTTGGATTCTTCTTAACCAACTTTGAAATGATTTTTTGGCGTTGTTTTATTAGTTTCTCACGAACCCTCATCTGCCTTGTATTTATTCTTATACCAAGATTGTTGTACACTGGTTGGGGAGAAGGAGATCTTTCCTCCTCAGGCCTGTCATCATGAAAATCTGAACTAAGCAGCTTACTGTTTAGCTCTGACAGGCTTAATTTCAACTTCTGAATCTTTGGATCTAACCCAGATCCAACAAAGCCTTCCATGAAGTCTGGAAGTTGAATTGGGCCAAGCATTTTTAACTGTGAGACATCACTAGCCCACCTGGTTTTCCTTCTTTTACTAGCCACGTTGCCTTCCCCAGTTTCCCCTTCTTGTTCAGGCTGAGGTTCCCATCTACTACGCCTTCGTTTTCCAGAACTTCCACCATGCTCCTGTAGTTTAGCAACACTTTCATCATTCAAAATAGCCTCAGAAACTACAGATTTACCATGGAAATCTGTAACAATGGTCCCAACATCTAATTTTGCTTTAAATGCATCCTCCTGTCTGAACTTCTTTTGTGACTGATAAACTTGCAACGGATCTGAATCAGATGTTGTTGCATTCAATGATCTCTTCTTTTCTTCTGAATAGTTGTGATCAGATCCTGATTGGTGATAAGTTCCACAAGCGTCATTCTGAGAAGACAGCTCAGGAGCAAAATCTTTTGCAGCATTCCCATCTGGATCCTCAACTGGTTGTTTGGACTCATCATATTTCCAGTAAGACATTACTGGAGAAACACACTTTGAAGTTTCCTCATCTGACTCTTCATCTGGTCCAACACTTAATTCCTCTTCTGGATCTTCTTCAGGGCCCACTTCTGGATCTTCTTCAGGTTCCTCTTCTGGATCCTCTTCTGGATCCTCGTCAGGATCCTCTTCAGGATCTTCATCAGGGTCCTCTATTGGTTCTTCCTCCAGTTCCTCAGTCATCCTTTGATTCCTTCGCTTCAAAGCTGTAGTTCTCTTTTGTTTTTGAATTATATGAAGCTTTACGTCACCTGTCATTTGAAGGCAGTGATTATTATCTAAAATTTGGAATTCAATATAAGAAAGATTCTAAAAACTAAAAGAAAGAGTACCGACCAGAATTTGGAATGTTGATGATGTCATTATACAACAGATAAAAGTGATTATGTTATTTTGAGACTTGAAAGGACAACAAACTGAGATCATCATAATTGCACAGAAGCTAATAAGGATCTTTAATACAAAGCAAATTATTTTTGTAGAAAGCTACTCTACAAGGCATGCACGTGCCTGTCTAGAAAATAGATCCATGAAGGAGGCTAGAGCATAGACAACTCTTAGAGAGGGTGACAGTGTAGATCTCAAGCTTTGCCAGAGGTGGTGGAGTTGATTAAATGGCTTGATGCTTTATGCATGAGGGAGGTCTCCTTTTAGGGTGGCTATGCATGGTGTCCCATGCTCAAGGATAGGTGGCTCAACTCTCTGGATATGACAAGCTGGAGGTTTCTCAACTACCCACTGTGCCCATGGTCAAACCTTGGTGGTCATATCATAGGATTGCAGTGAGTAGGTATGTTAAGCCTCAGATATTGAGAAGTTGCAGTGTGGGTATGTTTTGTCTTTCGATATGTAACGCCTTGGTTAAATGGCTTGGTGTGTGAAGCTTCCTTTCTAAGACTAGTCGAGGTGCAGGTCCCCTCGAGGAGGGGGATGGCAAGACACCTCAACAAACCCTCAACTATAGCCCTCTAGCCTACAAGCCACAAGTCCTTTAGTGATCTCAAGTGGAGTTCCTTGGCTCTACTCCTGACCCAGCTGATATAAAAGTGTCACGGTGCTTCTCTGGAGATAAGTATATATGAGATTGAGGTACCTCTTGGCAGAGGTTGTCTGGACAAGCCAAGGAAGACCAAGCAGTTGTGATGGAAGACACATTCGATGGACAGTGTGCATGCTTAATAGTCTAGACATGAGATAGGTGTATGTTTAGGATGGAGCACACTTGGCCAAGCCAATGCAACACCGAGCGTGTTAGTCACAAGCAAGAGAAGACATGCTGTCTAGAGAATGTTTTTCCCTAAATGCCTAAGCCAAGGTTAAGGCACCATGCGTGCTGCGCTACCCTTGGCTGTCATCTCCTGCTTGACCTCAGATGGCAGTACGTGGGGATGTTGTATTGGCCCACACATCACTTCACAAGGTCAACATCATACTCATAAAGATGCCAATTTGGAGATGCCACACGGCAGAGTTGGAAAGTTATACCTACACTTCCAATCAATGACATACCTATAACAATGAAAGAACATCACAAACCACCTATAATGCCAAAGCGAACACCATTATAAATACAACATATGCCAAGACAACTTTTCTATTGAATAAGTGTGACACGAAATTTGTTTGTGCAACTTCTGATGAACAACATACAAGAATAATTCTACCACATATGAATACCGAATGGAAGGTGGCATCGCCATAACCACCATTAAAGAACTTATTAAGTGTAAAATTTATCCCCAAAAGACAAAAAATAAAACCATCCAGCATAGGGAACAACAACTCCCTTCTGTCAGAAGAGGTGATAAACACATGTAAAAATGCTTAGAACCAGATTATTTATGTACCCATGTAAAACAAGGCTCCATACGGAAGCCAAATTCTTTCTGAGTCATCTAAGCTATATTTTAAATGCACTTCTAAATGGTAGGTGCAGATGTCCTACAACAAGAATATACAAGTACCACTATCGATCTGCGTCCAAGGCTCTAACAGGCTTACTGTTTTGATAAATAATACCCACTATGCAGCTGGGATCGAGGTTATAAAATCAACAACAATTGTTACACAAAGATTTCGCAATTACCGCCACCTATTACAACCACTATAGTGGTAGTAGTGTGACATAAATTCCAACAGTAATAGCTGCCACAGTACGTAAAGGCCGTAACAGCCATTACAGTTCATTTTCAACAAATTTGGTATACAAGGCCTTTTTTTTCTCATTTTTTTCCCCCTAGCCATTAAAATCAGAGAAAAGACACAGAATTATATTAAAATCTTACATCTACATGCTTGAAGTAGCCGATTTTGAAGTTGTACAATATCGGAGTTGATATCAAGGTTAAACTTTCATTTTCATTACTTTCTCCCTTGATTCATTGATTATTAACTTATATATATATTTGATTTCATGTAAAATTTGTTGGGGAAAAACAAAAAAAAAAAAACTTGAATAGCATGTTAACATGTACTTTTACATTATTATGTGTTGGTTTGGCATTATGAAAATGTTTTGCTATTTTGAGCTTTAATGGTTGAGGCGTACTACGCCTTCTGCGATGGAAATTTAAAAAGAAAAAGAAAAAAATTGGAAAATGACACGCAGCTGAGAAACACAACATACAAGGCAAACCTAGGGTTTTGATTCAAGGATTCATTTTGGCTTCCGATCTGTAAAGACGGTTGATTTCAAGCTTCGATTCTTTTTCTCCAGCTTCGATGATTTGTTACTTCTCCAATCAGATTTGCAGCAGCAACTCTGATTCTCTCTCTCTCTCTCTCTCTCTCTCTCTCGTAATACGGCAAGTCGTTTTCTTGAGGGGAAATAACCTGAATGTATTTGCAAAGGCTAATAAATATTAATAACTAAGGCCTCGTTTAGGAAGATGTTTTTTTAAGTAATATTTTGGTTTTTTAATTAAAATATGATGTCAAAAAATTAATATATTTGGGATGGTTTTTTAATTTTTTTATAAAAAGATGTGTAAAAAATAAAAAGAAAAGAAAGTTTTTGACTTTTTGGTATAAGTTATTGATTTTTTGATTTTTTTAGTGACTTTTTAACTAAAAAAGTCACTTGCCAAACGATGCCTAAATATACAATTTGGTTTAAGATAACTTACTGGTAAATTTCATCCATAAAGTTTAAAATTCATTTATTTCAAAAATAAAATATTTGTACCAATTAGAGGGGGAAAAAATAAATAAATAAAGAAATTAGAGTAAAAAATATATCAAAATGTCCTAAATATTGATAAACTGAGAGAAAAAAAAAACCGTAACAACAACAAATAGCAATAATAGGAAAAAAAACATATATTATTTTTTAATTTTTGTAAGGTTTAAGTAAATAATTTTCAATATTGATTAAACTGAAAAATAAGTTTTGAACCTGTAAAATGTTACAGTTTCAAAGTAAAAATCTATTAAGCATTTATCCTTATTAATCAAATTGAAAACACATGTTATAAAATTATAAAATTTTATAGTTCTAAAGCATATTATCAAATTGAAAATTTTACAGTTGTAAAGAATGTTATGGAACTATAAAATTTTATAGTTTTAAACCATGATTCATTTTAGTATCAAAAAATTGAAACTGTAAAATTTTACAATTTTCATCGTCTATAACTAAAACTTGATAACAATTTGTTTAGCATTTGAAAAATTTCTCCATTAAAATAGGAAAAGAGAAGTGTATAACAGACAAAAGGTAAAAAAATTAATAGATCGAAGGAGAGAGACATAAAGAGAGAATTGTATTCCGATAACTATTTTTTTGTTTAGATCTAGCTGGATCTGATGTAGATCTGAGTAGATCTACATCAGATTTGAATAGATCTATTCATTTTCTTCGCCGGATACTCATCTCCTTCGTCGTCGGTGAAGGTGAAGTAAGTAGTTGGTGGTCAGTGGTTGTTGGTAAACCCTAATTGATGGTGGTTGTTAGTCGCTAGTGACTATATATATCAAAAGGAGAAGGAGAAGGAGAAGGAGAAGAAGTAAGATGTGGTCACTGGTCGTCGATCGCCGGAAATCAAGAAGAGAAAGAGACTGAGAAGCTCGAAGATAGAGAAGAAGAAAAAAGCTACATGACTTTTGGGTATAAATAGAAAGGTGTGAGATTAAATAGGTTACACCTCTTTCAAAGAAGACTTATTGGTAATTTGTCATTTCTTTTATTAATATGTAATTATTTTAAAAAATTACCCCTTACTAGTGATTTCCCCAGTAACAAATGAATGGCAAGTTCAAAAATAAATATCTTGAACGTAACATAGTTTTTTTAAATTAATTTGTAAATATTTTTTCATAACTTTCATTGCAATAACAATAAATCAACTCATAACATTACTTACAACTGATCAACAATGTCATATCTTCTATTCCATTCATAACTTTGATCAATGCAAAAGATGACATGCAATATACATTCATAAACCCAAAATTCTGAATCTATAGCATATGGCATGGATACATGAAATAGAGTAAAAGTAAAATCAAAAAATTATATGCTCAAATGGCTACAACTTTCCAAGTTAATACTTGGGTACAAAAAAATGAGTTTAACTCAATAGAGGTAAAGCCCAAGGCTTAAACAAAAATAATTACATCAATAAACAAAAATGAAGCCTTTAGCTCCAAGTCCTCCAAGTTACGTCCTTAGTGGAGGCATATTATCAGCACTTGAAAGTTATTTTTCACATAGGGTGAGCCAAAGTCCAGTAATGATGCTCTAACACAGTATATAAATTTTAGCAAAATTATAAGGTGAATGTACATGCATGCCATTTGTTAATCATTTCTCGTTTTCTATCTTAAAACAATGCAATGTTAGATTATAAATCAATTCATGAAAACAATCATTTTATAACAGAAAACAGGGCAGTGGATACAAAACACTAGGAATCTCTAGGTATGCCTCTGCTACAAGCATTACCAAAGCCATTTTACCGGTACTAACTGGAAGGATAGGCAAGTAACCGTTCGGGTTTTCTAGACTTTCACCAAGGACACACAGGCCAGCATTATAACCACAACCACACCCCCTAATCAGGTTTACTAAGGCATTCACCCATTTTTCTCAAAATCAATATATTTACCATGTTCAATATGAAATGATGCTCAATGCACAATGTATGAAAAATTAGTTTTAATTCAACCTAATCCTCATGCAATGTCTACAACAACCAAGACTATCTGTGCATTCACCTTGTATCGCACAGTGCGATACAAGGTAAATGTACACTTGTGCGATACAAGGTGAATGCACACTATCTTCCATCGATAGCCCAACACAAATATTTTTATACAGCAGATAGTTTTCAATCAAAAGATATAATTCCATTCTTTTTCAATGGGAGTGATATTACTTATCCAACTCCACCATCATCATCAACATTATCATTGTTCTAATCTTATAAAACCCAACATCATTTTCCATTTTCTTTCACAAATCCAAATAACCAAAATTTAGAATAAAATCCCATTTTCTTACAAAATCAATTTTAAGAAAAGATATCCATCATTTTAACACATTTCACCCAATAAACACATCTTCGCAACCATTCTCAAGAATCCATTTAGAAAACCCCTCTTTTGATTTCAAACTCAAATCTTAGGTTTTCCCAAAAATTCCCAAATCATTAAACCTTTCAAAGAACAAATAATTAAGCTAAAAATCATATTAAAGGTCAAAGAAATCCCTACTTCAAAGTAGAAGACAAAAAGGAAACAAGGGGTAGAACTTGACAGAGTCGAAAACAATAATTTCACCGATTAAAACGAAACCTTCGACGTGCTCAACGTTTTTCTCCAAAGGACTAGGGTGAGGAAACCAATGGATTAAGAGCATTTACAGCTAGAGAGTAAGAACTAAGAGAGAAAGAGAGAGAGAAAGAGAGAGAGAGTGTGAATTTAGGGTTTTGAAATGTTTAGAGAGAGAATGAGATGGAAAAGTGACTCAAAATGGCCTTTTTCTCGAATTGATATATGTGCAGCCCGCTCAAACGACCAAAATATCGCTAGAACGAACAGACACAATAAGTGACACTGCTTGAGTAATCAAAACCACCGTTCATGTCACGACCCAAAACCGCCCCTAAAGGTTTTGGACATGATCACGTCAGAAATAAACAAAAACCAATATACGTAACGCATGGGGCCTGAACGGAAGCACCTAATAACCAAAAATTCTATGCCATTGAGCTATTACTATTATGCCAGGATCACAACATCATATCAAATAAATAATATGCAAGAAATATACACACATACATCGACTCAGCCCATAATTGGCTGTATGACAAAACATATTAACGAAAGATAATCAAAGCATAAATCCCAAAAACCTAACAACACGTTACAAAATGCACGGGCTTCAGTTAGTGCCTGGACACACCGAGGTTGACAAGAGGGAGACGAATCTTAAGGGTCAGGACTGGCCTCTCAGTTGATTACCTACAGAAACAGACAAAATACAGAATGAGTGAAACTCAGTGAATAATAGTACATAAATAATGTAAGGTTTAACGTGAATAATGAAGCATAAAATTGCAGAGGCATATGATTGATTTCATTCTGTAATTATTCCAAAATAGCCATGGATCCAGTTTTCTTAAAAGAGTGGTTTTAAGCCCAGAACAGCCATAGGTCTTCAGATACAAAACGGCCATAGGCCCAGAAATAACGGAACAACCTTTCAACCCAGAAATATATACAGAACAGCCTTTCGGCCTAGAAATATATACAGAACAGCCTTCCGGCCCAAAAATATACAGAACAGCCTTTCGGCCCAGAAATATATACAGAACAGCCTTCCGGCCCAGAAATATATACAGAACAGCCTTCCAGCCCAGAAATATCTATGTATGGACTCAAGAGGTGGCTCCCACCAAGGTGTAGCACTTTGTTCCATACCAGAATATGTCAGAACAGATTAACTTCAAGATCATATAGAACATGCACACATTCTTCCCTTTATTCACGTGAATTATCATAGATACTATCAGTTTAACAGAATGTTGCTGATAATTATTGGCAAAAAGGTAAATATATTTTACAGAGTGAACACTTCCAGAAATATGTAGATACCACAGTTTCATAATGCATATACCTCCCATGTGCTTATCATGTTTCAATACTATTAACTAGCAGATAACATAATGCTCATATTCATTATCCGTAGCAAACAAAACATTTAGTGCAATGATGCACTTAGATTTCTTCATGGTTCTTTGAAAGTCGGCATACTTGTCTCGTAATTAACAGAACCTTAACATTAACAATAATCTGAGGGTAAAGGTACCAGTATATCAGTAGGTCAGAACAATTATATCACAACATGAGTCACATAACAATGTCGTTGATACTCAATTCCTTTCTATTAACTGGCTTCCCCGTTTAATACTTTGTATGACATTTTGATACGGAATCATAGGTAATTTTTAGGATGGTACATTACTAACAACCATTAGTCTTAACCAAAATACAGAGGAGGTTCAGAGTCATACCAATGCACACCCAAAATCTTGCAATGTTCCCACTGATTCCCAACACACGATTAACATAACTACTTGTGAATAGCAGAACGTTAAACAAAAGAATTATTAATGGTAATCAAATGTGCGATTCCTGTACTATTACTCACAGTATTATTGCGGAGCGGTGGTTCCTCCTGTGGTGTGTCCTACACACATAGATAACACATTAGTTTCTTTCTCCTTTTAAACCATTTCTTGCATTATTACATTTCAATTACATGTACAATCATCAAAAAGTATCAAACACAAATTCTGAAAAGAGCTGAGGGTTAAGCACGTAAAACGAAGCAAATGGGGTTTTCGACCTGGGTCGCACGTGCGGCCATACCCTTCGCTCGTGCGGACATGTACCGCACGTGCGGTCTCCCTCCACCGCTCGTGCGGCCAAAAATAGTATGCTTTCCCAAATTTTTTTCCTCTTCTCCGCACGTGCGGCCACGACCTCCGCACGTGCGGTCTGGCCCCTGTTTGGCAGTCCGAAAATCATACAAAACCCCCTTCTTTGGTGATCATCTAAGAGGTCCAAAATAGCTTCTTTACATACCAAAACATGGTTAAAAAATTGGGTAAACAAGACTATAAACACCACCATTTGAACATGGAAAATCCATTAATCACCACCACAACTTATATACACACATGTATAGCCATATGTTTACACAAGTATCAACATGGTAATTCAAGACATAAGTTGTAGATTTCTTCTTAGATGACCCATATTAAGTTAAAATCATCAAATAGTAGCATTATTTTACCAATAGATCAACACACCCATCCAATTTTCCATTACAACTCTAGGTTACACCATATTAAGCAATTCCTTCCCCAAATTAAAAAGAAAGGATGGAATTAGAGAAATTGAACTTACCTTAAAATTCCTTCCCTAAATGCCCCCCTCAAATTTTCAATTGTTTACCTTCTTGATGCTCTTGTCTTTCCCCACTTCTCAAAACCCTTCTCTAGTTTTTTTTTCCTCCAAGAGATATTCATGGAGCTTCTAAGTCAAAGATGCCTAAGACTTAATATAGATATATATGTTTCTAATAAGACAAAATTCAATCGTTTAATCATCCCAAATTGAAATTACACAGAAAATCTCATTTTAGCTTAAAAATCATGCAGATTTCAGATGTCAAATCAATTTTAGAAAATTAAGTCTCTAAGGCATCCAATTTCGGATTCAAATAGTTTAAGTGCGACAGATAATTTTCTTATTCAACAGATAGGAAGCCATATTTCCAAGTTTCACTTAATTCAACGTAATTTCACATAGAGTTTCACAATAAACATTCAAAAGCACAGAATAGAGGGCTGAAAAGATACCAGAATCATGTACGAGGGTCAGGTTATTACAGTTCAAGTGCGCAATGACCCCCTTACTAGTTTTGCAGACTGTAAAAGACCGTCTGTGTCACGACCCAAACCCGCCCTTATAGGTTTAGCATCGCAATCGACCAGTAATCCTTAGATTACCAAAGGCCTCTAAACAGATTACCATATAATAAGGGGCTACGGAAGCAAATATAAAATATACATAGTCTATTGAGCCGTGTAGACATATATGGGATAGAAATTCAAAAACATTATATACATAGGCGTGATGTCATATTTATAGTAATCCATGTCACATTCATTATAGATATAACAAAAGAAAACTTGTTTATAATTTCAATAGGAAAGAAGGTCTCAAACACAAGCTTTATATAAACTAGATTAGGCCACAAAAGGGAACCTCCTCGGGAGGCACAACGGTTGGCTAACAAAACAGAGACTCCAAGTTATCAACTTTGTGCCTGGTTAGGCGCTTGGTCACCTACATACATATATAATACAGTGAGCTGGAGCTCAGTGAATAATAACAGAGTAAAGTTTTTAATGAATGATGTCTTTAACAGATTCAAATCTCTTATCATCATAGAATCATAAGCATGTTCGTAACAGAAGCAGAGTCACATTCATATTCATATCATGCGTGGTGAATCCATTAGCATTAACATATCTCTTTGGTCAAGCATGCCAAGTTCCATAATGGAACCTTCGGTATCGGGTAACATATCTTATACGTGGGCCATGGTATTGTTTCCCCCGGACGAGGGCCTGGGCCACGGTATTGTTTTCCCCGAGCGAGGGCCTCATAACCATAAGCCACAATATTATTTTCCCTGGGCGAGGGCCTTTGCTAAGGATACCACAAAGACATTTCAAAGAATTGGATCATCATTCATGTAATCACAAAATAGCCTTTTGTATCATTTAGAAATAGTTCATATCATATCATAACGTTCAGAAAGTATTGCATATTGAAAATAGCTTTTCTAAGTTATTACTCACAGATAGTTGCACATATAGCTTTGATAGCAACCAATGGATCAACAGTTCACGGCGCGTGACCTACACTAACATAACAGATACACATTGAAACACACACTCGAGTCATATTTAACTTATTTCATTTCATCCTTAGTGTGTTTCTAGCCAATATCCTTACTATTATGTCTTAATCTTGGCTTAGGAATGCCTAGGATGCAATGAGGATGCCAAAATATGCTGTTCAACACTTAGTCAAATTTGTTGAAAACATGGTCCTCGCTCGAGTGCAGCTTTCTTCGCTCGAGTGGAGGTCCAAAAAATATGAGTAGTCGCTCGAGTGCAACTTCCTTTGCTCAAGCAGTCTGTAAACTCTACAAAAGTACTAGTTGTGTGATTTTTCTGCTTGACGCACACTCGACGGTCACTTAAGCGTAAGACTGAGGTTTTTGCTCGAGCGTAACTCTGGTCGTTCGAGCAGTCTACAAAATGTGTAAACTTCTGGGAATATTCATTTTACGCTCAAGCCAACTTTTAGTCGCTTGAGTGGAGGTGCAAAGCATAAAGTGGTTGCTTGAGTGCAGGATCTGTTGCTCGAGCGAAGGAGCAGAATCCTGAAATTTTTAGGTTTGCTCCTAAGCTCAAAACTCCAATTTAAAGCTACAAATCATGATTATTTGGGCCAAAAACTTAAGGAACCTTGTATAAACTTGGCAAACCTCATGAATTAAAAATCATTTCGCAAAATTAAGGTCCAAAAACATGCCAATTGTGTGAAATCAAACTCAAAACTTGAAAGTATCACATATATGCAATGGATTGAGTTTAAAGCTTCCAAATCATAATCAAATAAGATCAATTGATGGAAGACATGGTAAACTCTCAAACCTAAGGTACAATTGGCACTTGCATGTGAGAATTACTTGAAATTCAAACTCAAAAATGTGATGAAAGTGCATGCATGCATGAATAACTCAATTCTCTTCATTTCTAGCTTCATTGTTTTATTACTCAACTTAATTCTCTAGAGTTCACGGACTAAACATCATAATTGTACAATCTAAGGGTAGAATTCTTACCTAGGCTTTCCAAGGTGATAGCTAGAGGGTTAATTCTCGAGTCTCTAAAGTCCAATGCCTTACATTCCTAGCAATTCCCTTAGCTTGAGCTTAATTCCTCTCCAAAATGACTCTAAGCTCTCTCTTCTCACTCTCCCTTACGTTTGGAGCTCAAAGAGGATGAAATGAGAGTGTAAAGTGTATCCTAGGGGTCTCACATGCCTTATATAGGCTCAACTAATGAAATCTAATTAACTTAAGTTAAAGGTAACTAATTGGGATCATTTTATTCTAATTAATTGGTTCCGAATTGAATTTCAATTCAATCAACCATAAATTCCCAAAAAGTCTAAATAACATATGAATCAAGTCAATTTTGTGATCGGATGCCGATAAGGCCTTCAATTCACAAAACAAAGCAGAAATACAAACAAATATTTCTACAGTAGACAGATATAAACATGAATAATGCAACACACATGCAATTAATTTAGAATTTCATCGTAATTACTTATTAGGCATCTTTAATCGTTGTTTAGTAGTTAATCATAGGTCGGGGTTGTTACAGCCTGAGCGTAAGAAATACCGCTCGAGCGAAGATTCCCAACTCCCAGTAATTTTACAGAATATAAAAGACCACTTGAGGGAACAAGTAAAAATCTGAGCAACAACTCATTGAAAAACTAACATCCCAACCTATTTCAAACGCAACAAAAACTCCCAATAGCCAAACTCAATAAGCAACAAGATGGAAATGAAATGAACAACAATTAAGTACATGGGTTCTCGAATCTAAAAGCAAGAAAATGGGTTGGGTCTAAACTAGAATCGTTATAAAAGTTGTAAACATAGTTAGGGAGAGAAGTAGTACTCGTGGTTTTTGCATGAAGATTATACATTTATTGAGCATTTTGGGGTCTTTGAAGTGCTTATTTTTATTTCAAATGCAAAATAAAAGTAGAAGTTGTAATGGGTTATTTTTTCGGTTTGCAATTTTGTTGTTTTTGTCTTAAAAAAAAAAAATTACTTGATTTGCACTTGCGGATTTTCAGTACTGCACAAGCGGTTCATGCCCAGATTTTCGCATGAGCGACGAGTCATTTTCGCATGTGCGGTATGTCCTTGCTCAAATTGGGTCATCTATGCTTTGATCTACCCAAGTTCCCTCTTTAATCCACCCGTGCAAATGTCTTCACCCCCCTTCCTAATAAAAAATAAATAAATTAGATTAGTCAAAAAAAACCTAGGGACCACTCACCAACCCACCATTGACCTATCTATTTCTCTCTCTCTCTCTCTCTTTCTCTCTCTCTCTCTCTCTCTCTCCTTACCCTCCAGATTACCAACCGGCGCACCACTACTCAATCTCGCTGACTACCGTCGTCGCAGGTCTGCCGCCATTGCACTACCTTATCTCCTCCACTTTTTCTTCCCCTTCATTCACCACACCACCAACTCACACCCCCTTCCCTCCTGTACCACTACTGCCTTGCCGTCGCCGGCACCTCTCCCTCACCGGCGAACATTTTTTCCCCCCAACTGTCGATCACTCCCTCCTTCAGCAGGTTTCCATTTCTTTTAAATTTTTTATTATATATTTTTATATTCTTTATACATATTTATTTATTTATTTATTTACTCATTATTATTATTATTATTATTGTTATTATTATGCTTTCTATTCTTTGTGTATATATTTTTTTCCCGTTCAGTTTTATTCCTTCTCTTTTATTCCTATTTTTGTTTCTTTTGTTTTTGTTCATTTTGATTTGTTGGCCTATTCTCTTTATTTTAGTTGGGAAAAAAAGAAAAAAATTGTTGGAAAATAATGGTTTTTTGGTGACTTTAATGCAATATTAAAGTGGGTGTCAATCCTCAATTGAGGTGGATTAAAGTGGGTTTAGATTCTTTGTAATGAAATCTTTACACCACAAAAAGAATGACCAAAAATCATTAAGATTTGAATAAGAAATTGACTCATTAAGTTGGCCTCATGAAAGAGGTGTTGAAAGAGGTGTAAAGCCTTTTATCTCACATTGATTGTAGAGGAAATCATTGATGGATATTTAAATCTCATTTTTTGTCTAAGGGTGTGAGCCCCTTGGGGCATCCAAATTTTCCAACGGAAGGGAGTTATGGGTGCTTCATGGATGGACTTGGGCCAAGACTATGGTCCAAGTTGGGTATGCAAAAATCACCATACGTGCGTGCATATGGGTCATGGGTCTGTGGTCTATGGTCTATGATCCATGGGTCATGGGTCGTTGATCTTGGATCTTGGATCTTGGGCTTGAGCTTGAGGCTTGTTGGACTGGATTAAGTATGGGGGTTGGGCCGAGTTCTTAGCCTACCTATCTTAATCTTTTTGGGCTAGGCCAGATGTGTGGCTGTAGGATTATACATATTATACATGTGTATATATAAAATGTGTAACCCCTCTACATTCATGATGGATTAATCCATCAGTTTTGTAGGTTAATACAAAATTTATTTCTACATTTGGGATGGGCCTTGATAGCAGGAGCCTTTTCCTCTCTCCCTCAATGTGTATAAAAGGAGGCCACCTTTTTTAGTTTTGAACACTAGAAATTTTGCTCTCTTTGTGTTCTTCCAAAAATTCCAATTTTTCCATTCTTCCTAGTGTGAGAGAGTGCTGCCTTAGTTCAGTTCACCGAAGCTACTCAGTAGGTGCCCTGCTGTAGCTGGTCCAACCATTATATCCTCGGAGACAGACGTCGAACAACCTCCAACACCCAAATGGTGAGGCGACGAATCTGTTTTAAGGACACTCTCTAGTGCAAGCTTCGGTTTGCTTCTTTTTGCCATTTTATTTTATTATGTATTCCTGTTGATCTTGTAATTTCTAGCATGTTGTTTTTCCTCCATGAAATTTAGATTGGTAATTATGAATCTATTTGTTTTATTTTATTACACAATTTATACTACAAAAACAATAACAACAACAACAAACTCTATAAACAAAATATAAATATAACATCACCAAACATCCATAATTGTCTCACTGAAACTTAACATAAAAAAAGAAGAAGCTTGGATGCACGTGTTGTTGTTGTTGTTGATATACCTGTAGCCTGATTGGAACCTTCTCTTTGTGTCACTTGCTTATGGGACATGATTCTCAGTGAATTATCTTATCTCCATCTTATGTGGCATATTCATTCCCTCCTTGTGTTCGGATTGGTTGTAATATTTTGGCATAATTGTTGGGATTGGTTGAGTATTTTGGTGGCTACAATAGTGTTGTTTATTTGTTCTTGTTTTGAAAACAATTGGGGACAGAGGGACAACATTCATTGTATGCATACACTATTGTTTTTCATGAGTTACGCACGTACTATATTGTTTTATTATTTGGTGCTTATGCTTCATCTATCTCATTCTCTTTATGGTTACCTAGTTTTGTAAATATGAAGATCAGTGTTGGCCGCTGCGGCAAACCAGTCCACTCCACCATTGATACTACAGCTACTACTCCTACCCGGGACATCCCTACTGTTCAATGGGCCCACTAGGACATCGTTCGGAACAACACATTTGATTAGGCCTACTTTACGACTAATGCCTCCACCAGTTAGGCGGCACCACCTTAACTACTCGTCAACTTTTAGGCTTGTGTAGGGTTGATGTCCTTGAGTACGCACTACTTGTTTGGTTATTCTATCAGAATTTGTTCACAAATCCAAATTTTTGTGGTTGTTTGAGGTTCATTATTGATGGTTTCGCCATCACCTTTGGCCCTAACTTAATTAATTCTACACTTGAAATAGATATCATAATTCATAAATTGAGCCCATGCTGTCACACTTCATTAAAATTGCACTTTAGCCCCAAAACCATTCTTTATATGTGAAATGGTACAATCCATTATTATATATATATATATATAAGGTTTTGTACACAAAAATAAATTGAAAAATCTGTTAAAATCACCTCCACATGACCAGCCATATAGATATAGGTGAATTGGTGTGTACTTTTTGGAATAAATTGCTTAAATCTTGGAAGAATATTGACTAAATTACCTAGAATTTAGGAGTTTGTCTTATACCCTATATCAATGTATTTCAATCTTGAAAAATCCATAACTAAATCATATTTTAACACTTAATTAGACCTTGTAATCATCCTGCATTTCATTGCATTCAAGCCAAATCAAAAATTATTCCATTCCATTGGAACCAAAGGCACTTTGGACTTTTCACCACAATTTTCATATAAATAGATCACCTCCCTCAACACTTTTATACACACACACACACACACATGCGTGTGCACACACACACACACGCGTGCGCACACACACACACACACATTTTTAGCAAGAGAGAGAGAGAAGGAAAAAAAGTGTGAGCTTTGGGAGGAGGAGGAGGAGGAAAAAAAAGAAGGGAAAGCTTGCATACACCATTTCCTAAGCAAACAAGTAAGCCACAACACAACCTATCATTTTCTTTTCTCTACTAAATACATGATAATATGTGCTTAGAATATTGTTTCCATATGTTTATGTATAGGGTCCTTGTGTTTGAATAAGAGAGGTTGAGCTTTGTTGATTACCTTGCGTGTATTCTTTCTTTGTTGAAGCAAAGTCACCAATTTCCATCCAATTCATGTATCATTTTTAAAGGAACACTTTCGAACTAAAAATTTAAGTTATTAGTATATTATCTATCATGTTTTCATCATAAGAGAAGTAGAAAATTACCCATGGTTGCCCCATTTTCTTTTAACTTTGTTTATTTCAAGTTTTGTGCACCAAAAACTGATATTTTTAGCAACTTCCAAAAATTCTAGAAAATAATAGAAAACTCTACTTGAGCTCAATTTTACATCAAAACCTTCCTTAAATTATTAAATTTCAATAAAAATTGGTTTTTTTTGAAAATGAATGAGTGGTTTGAGAGAAAAACCAATTTTCGTAACAATCGATGAATCTGGACAGAGCTGGAATATTTCATTAATAACTAAAAATCTAGAAAAGCTATCCCACTTCCGTAAGTTGATTTTGAAACTAGGCAAAATTGTCTATAGAAGGAACTTCGGGAATTTTTTAAAAATACCACTTTGATAGTTATCTTTAAGGTAAACCGAATCTGGAAGCTTGTTCTTGTTAATAGTTTCATGTTCTTAGTTGATTGAATATGCTTCTTATTATTTGTTTAAGCTTTAGTATGACATCTACATATGTTTGTGGTTGTATTACTTAAAATTTATGGCTTGAAATGCCTATACTTGTGTAGTAAATGTTTTTTCAATAACTTGTTCTAACCTTAACATAACACACCTAACTCAACGAGAAACTTAATAAGGGTGGTGTTGGGTTTTCAATCGCCAAAGAAATTTTTATGAGATAATAAGATTGATGAGACAAATGGACTAGTTATTTTGGAAATGGAAGGAAAATGATGGATTGTGGGGTTAAGTCTTGCGCAAGTTGTGTTGCATTACTCAAGTTGGCTTAGGTTTAGAATGTGGTCATTTATATCAACTGTGCGGTGGTCTTGCAGAACACAAATGAGAATGCTTGTGGCACAAATGAGAATTCATGTGGAAGATTGGAACATATATGAGTATTCTTGTGGCCGACGGGTTGTGACTATACTATATTCCAAGATGGCACGATCTGGGTACATAGCCCTATGAGTGGGAAATCTGGAAAGGTGAGCAAGAAAGGGTACTAGTTTGGCTTAAGCCAAGCTTGAAATGTTGGGTAGGAATGGAATTTCGCAGGGAGTTTCCTAGAACTAACTTGATTGACTATTATTCTTATGAACTGAAATTTATTATAAGCTATGCTAGATTATTGTTCCCGCTATATGATATGATTGTGCTATTATTGTAATTATGTATTGGATTGGGAAAAAGGGACGGGGTGTGTATGAGTTTATTGGGCATTCCAAACTCATGGCATTTTATGCCAGGTGTAGAAGAACTTTATCCAGAAGACGGTACCACGGAAATGTTCGAAGACGTATGGCTATCTTGGAAGAAACTAGAACTAGTTTTCTTATGTCTCTCTTCGTAATCTTGTTTTGCGGTTGTAACATAAAAACTCTTGTTGTTACTTAAGACATAACTTTGTAATTTTTATTTGCTTATATATCTATGTGTATCTTTTTTGTAACCTGTCATTTATTTTCTGTCAACTTATGTAGACCTTGCGTTAATACCTTGTTAAGATCTGTATAAAATGTAGCTTTGCTATCTAAGGAGATTGGACTTAGAAAGGAGGCTACTTTGACTCCTTCGATCTTTCCTGGGATTTTACGTGGTTATTCATCAAAGGACTCATTAGTGACGTATCATTATTTATTCTTGAACTTGTAAATTTAGCAGTACCTTGTATTTCAATTTGCTGCCTTGCATCTAGTTGATTGATGTCATCTTTTGGTGGAATGTAATTTCCTCGGGACATAAAAAGGAACGACGTGGTGCCTTTCTTCATGCACTTCACCATTTCAAGTTTGACTTTTGGGTGGTTGTTTCGAAGCTCATTTGGGAGAAAATGTATAAAATCATAACCGATGTCTAGCTCAAGCAAACTAAGAACTCTCAAACTTGGCCGTTTCCCTTTGCCAACCTGATCACACATCTCATTCGCTGCCACACTACCTACTAGCTCAATCCAGAGGAGGAGGTGATTAATGAGATAATGTCCTACACCGAGCAAACTTGGCTTCATAGTTTGGCTCGGCTACATACTCTTCAGATGCAACCTTTCGTTGCCCATACTAACGTTGAGGGTTTGGGCGATAATGTTCTCATGACCGATTCTACCCATGGCGTTGTTGCCTACGCCCTTGCTGATCTTCTTGCACTCATCTTTATGACTCGTGCTGACTATGAGGCCCTCTATCATGAGCACATCCACATTCAACAGTTTATAGATACCCTCAAGACCAATTTCTATGCTTATTGGGACCTCTCTCAGTAGCGCTATGATGCCTTCCAGGCGTATATGCAGCAGTCCCTCGCTGATATGCAGTCCCAGATCTATCATAATGCTTTTGAGACCCAATCTCTTATGTGTTCTCTTTTTTGCGGAATATCACCCACCTCTGCCTCAGTGATACCCTACTCATCTCTGCTATGTTCTTGTTAGGCTATGATGTTATTACTATTCTCTGTACTTTGGATTTGTTCCTCTTCTTTTAGGGTTTAGTTCACTTCTTCTATTTTTTTCATTTGTTTTTTGTTGGATCTGTATATATATTTGTTTTAGGGTACTAATGATGGACCTCTTATGTTCCTGTATATCTCGTTGGGGGTGTTTCTATACCTAGTGCCCTAAATCGATATGGATTGGGAGTCATTGGCCTAACGCTTGCTAGATGGGTTAATTAGAAAGTTTAAGAGAATCATTTATTCATAAATTAAAAAAAAAAGAAAGACAAAAAAAGAAGAAGGTTGGGACCCATGTTTGATTTTGAAGGTTCAAAGCACATAGTTTTTGTTGGGAGAAAGTAAATAAGTAGGAGATGTTTGCTTTTCACTTCACACTGAATCTCACTTTACACGTAAGAAACATGTGATGGATTTTATCTGATTGTGATTTGGTACAGTGTGTTAGCATATTTATGGGCTCATGAATAGTGGAATACTCATCTAACTTGCTTGCTTGAAAGAGGGGTTGTTTTGATTAAAAAGGGGGTGGTGCTAAGTATTGTGTACAAACTTGTGCTAAATTTCAACTCCTTCAATCAAGTATGATGTTTGTGGGTACCATCTTTGAAAACCCTCATGAAACTTCACTCATCCACTTGGTAACCTTATAGTTTAAAAGGCTTTGTAACGCCCCAAAAAAATAATCCCACAAATCTATTGCATCAATTCCGCTTCCCAATATAAAATAATAATAACCATGTTCCTTTACATAATTCTGAATGTTATACGATAGTAATCTCACATGCGATTATACATTCATTAACGAAATAGTACATGAATCTATAACATGTAAAATCATTAAAAACAAAACAAATAAGGCCCTCAATGGCTTACAAGTTCCAAGGCAACAACCCGGTTACACAAAATGGTCTCTTGAACCCATACACCTTAGCCCTTGGCTTTACAAAAAAAAATTCACAACAAAATAAAGAGCAATCTACTCATCACAAGAACATATCCACACCCTCAATTCGGCAGGATCACAACATCTTTACCTGCACCAAAACCCATAGGGGTGAGCACAAAGCCCAGTAGAGAATTCTCACAAAGTATATACAATTATGCCAATTCCCTCAACATTAAAAATGCAAATGTAAAGCCATGCAAGTGCCCATAATGAAAGAAAATTTTATTTCAATGCACTATTTAGAAATCATCATGTTCATCATAATATTTCCAATCTCATCAATTTCACAATTTCCAATAGTTAAATCAGTAGGGACGGTAAATACGACACTGGTAATCCCTAGGCTGGTGTCTGCAAGTAGACTCTACGAGTACTACCAAACTGTCATTTTTATCGGTATTAACCGGAAGGCTCGACACCTATCCGCGCGGTTTTCTGGTCTTTTACCATGGACACTCAGGCCAACTTAACAAAATTTATCTACACCCCATAACCGGACTTGTCAGCGTATTTACCCCTTATACATTTCCGTTGTTCTCATTACAATAGATATGTTCTTTGCATGAAACAAATGTTTTCCTTTCAAATTATGCAATGTATGATAGTTAATCAAATGAATATGCAAGATAATAAATTTCCATGGTTCACGGCCTTTCTCTGTTTCCAGAAGGCATAACAACAATAATAACCAAATGTATGTCACATTTCCTCGTTTC